CTTAGAAGACACTGAGAGAGAATTTCAGAAGCACATAATTTAATGAGCTAGTGCCTATCAAGAAAAAAAAAAATCCTGGAAAGGAGTGTAGGCAGCAAGATAAAGATAAGGAAAGAATGGACATATTTATTTTTAAATATATATATTTTATTGATTTTTTTTTACAGAGAGGGATAAAAAATTGGTTTTCCTCAATTGGATGACTTGCCTTTGACTATGCTAATTATGGTCTTTCACATCTACAGTAAATTGCTTTTCAGAACACCCTCATTGCATGAGAAAGTGAATTTCAGCAAAAGATAAGTGATGTTTTCTTGCTATAGACAAATGCCTGCAGTATTGTGACAGTACAAACACAGTATATCAATCATAGCAAGCGTGCACCAGGTGTTCATAGAAACATTCACCAGCTGCCTCCTGCACACCCCCTAGCAAGGATGTGCCCGCAACCAATGTACATGCCCTTGACTGGAATTGAACCTGGGACCTTTCAGTCCACAGACCAACACTCTATCCACTGAGCCAAACCGGTTTTAGCAAGGATGGACATATTTAAATGTGTTAATGGCAAGGCACATCTGACTTTATTATTTTCACTAATTAGGTATGTATTGTGTGTTTGTATGACTTTTAGCATATAATGTGATTGCTTTGAATATCAGCAGACTTCTCATAGAATTCATTCACTGACAGCTTATTTTCCAAAGATCTTCATTTATATTCTACCTACAAACAATCTTCAGATTCAATGCAGAAACCACTATTTTTTTTTTTTCTGGAGTGGAAATTGCTAACAGTCCACAGAACATTCCATCTGTTCTTCATTTAGGTTTTACTTCTTAATGGAATCAATGACATTCTGCAGGTTTATGTGATTCAGCTAAACTGTTTGAAACCACAGGATTCTGCTGCCGGCCAATGTCTGGAGCTCAGTGAACACAATTTTGAGGTAAGTCTTTATTTCACCCATTCCCAAAGTCATCCCTGATGGACTGAGCTTTTTCTGCTATGTCTGTTCTAGACAGTATCAAGCCGAGTATTAAAAGTTCCCATTGCATTCTCTGCTCCTACTTAAGCACATTCTTCTTGGTTTTCTTCAATTGGATGACTTGCCTTTGACTATGCTAATTATGGTCTTTCACATCTACAGTAAATTGCTTTTCAGAACACCCTCATTGCATGAGAAAGTGAATTTCAGCAAAAGATAAGTGATGTTTTCTTGCTATAGACAAATGCCTGCAGTATTGTGACAGTACAAACACAGTATATCAATCATAGCAAGCGTGCACCAGGTGTTCTGTGATGGTGTGGTGGAGGCACTAAATCACCTCCTTTCCAATACCCTTTGGGTGCAGTGTTTTAAAACACTGGCTACAGCCGAAACCGGTTTGGCTCAGTGGTAGAGCATCGGTCTGTGGACTGAAAGGTCCTGGGTTTGATTCCGGCCAAGGGCATGTACCTTGGTTGCGGCACATCCCCAGTAGGGGGTGTGTAAGAGGCAGCTGGTTGATGTTTCTCTCTCATCGACGTTCTAGTTCTCTCTCTCTCTCCCTTCCTCTCCCTTCCTCTCAGTAAAATATCAATAAAATATATTTAAAAAAAATAAAACACTGGCTACATATTAGAACAGTGTGGTGAGATTTTATAAAATACCCATGCCTGAACCCCAACTGGGCTCCATTTTTCTGATGCCTTCCTGCCCTAAGAGATAGAAACTAGAACCTATATTTCCACAAACCTCTTGAAGCCACAATACAGCATGCAATTGTGTGTCTATAAATCAGAATGACTTGAGCAGCACTAAAATTTGAAACTATCTGAGGGAAGAGGTATTACAAGTGTGATGTGCTAGTATGGACCTTGGTACAGACATGGCTCTGAACCCTATGGTGCTTATGACTCCTTGAGCTCTGGTCTTACCTCTTGTGGCTGCAACTATCTACGCTCTTACTAACCATGCACAAAGTTCCTTATATACCCCCCTCCAATCAACACTTGGCAATATCTAGCCTTTTAATCTCTGCTAGTCAAATAGATTTAAAGCGATTTAAGAGTGCTGCTTTAATTGACACTTCTCTGATTACTAATGGCATCTTTTTCTGTGCTTAGTCCCCCCAACCCCTTCTGTAAATTGTCTCTTATTCATTGAGTTTACTATCTCAACTTTGTTATTTTCAAGAATTCCTAATATATTCTATTTATTAATACCTTGTTAGCTTAACATTGCAAATATTTCTCATTATATTAATCTGTTATCCTTGTCAATGGTGTCCTTCCCTGAGTGAAAATCCTCTATTTGATTATTCAAATGTAATCAGCTTTTTTGTCTTAGAGTTTATATTTTTAAAATTTGTTTTAGAAGTTCTTCCCTACTTTTAGGTCAGAATGATACTCTCCTACATTATCTCCTATTAACTCTAAGGTTATAGACCCTTGTTTGTTAGTGAGCTAGTGAGATTAAGTAAGACATACTTTTATTTCCTTCCCTAGAGTGAGTTCATTCTCCCACTACCATGTCCTAAACAAACATCCTTTCTCTATCAATTGGTACTGCTAACTTAATCTTATACTAATTCCCTAAAGAGAAATATGTCTGTTACTCCATGTATACATTTGTTTTTTTCTTGCACAAATACTAAACCATTTTTATTATTAGGCATATCCTTGCCCTTCCATTTTATTTTTTGAAAATGACTTAGCGTTTGCATGTACATGGAAAATCTATTGCGGGATATAACATATATACCTTAAGGTTTATAAAATACATATGTGCAGTTATGGAGTAACTAGAGGCCCAGTGCACAGATTCATGCATTGGTGGGGTCCCTCAGCCTGGCCTGCACTCTCTCACAATTCGGGACCCTTGGAGGATGTTGGATAGCCACTTTCAGCCGACCCCTCAGGACCCATTCCAGACAGGAGGCGGCCTGATCCTGTGTGTTGAGCGTATGTCCCCTGGTGGTCAGTGCACTTCATAGTGACTGGTCAACCGGTTGTTTGGTCGTCCAGTCATTTAGGCTTTTATTATAGAATAGAGGCTTAGTGCATGGGTTTGTGCACCAGTGGGGGTCCCTTGGCCTAGCCTGCGCCTTCTCACAATCCAGGACCCCTCAGAGGATGTCATATAGCCACTTTTGACCCCTGCAGGAATCAGCATAACCAAGCACCCCACCCCTTCCCTTTCTGTGACTTTCACTGGGAAGTGATTGTTTCCCCCCCTTTCCCATGGGAATGGGGAGGAGGGAACTCTTTATTTTCTAGTGAATTTTGCTCAGTTAAATGAAAGTTTTAATGAAAAGTTTTGTAGCAGAGTCATATTCTACTTTTTAGCACATGTAACTCCATTCCTTTAATGATTGCTTAAAGGCTGTCCCCATGTTTGACCAAGAAAGGGACATTTCTATTTATTTTAATCAAACTAAGGTTGATTTGGTCCTTAGGATAGAACTTTAAGCCAGAACCAAGTTATTTATTTCTGTTCCTTATGGTCAAATCTATGGGACATTATATAATAAGTGTTTATTAAGAGAAAGTTTAAAGAACTCAAAGGTAACACCGCTGAGGTTCTATCTCATGGTTCAGAGCCAAGCTGATTACACTACTTCAGATTCAGATGTCACAAGAGTAGTTTCCTTATCGGTGGGGAATATGTTTCAAGACCCCCAGTGGACAGTGGATGCCTGAATTATGGATAGTACCTAACTCTGTCTGTATGATGTTTGGCAAAAGTAGGTTTATAGTTGTGAGTTTACAAAACAGTTTATTATTGTGCTAGAAGCCTGGTGCATGAATTTTTGCCTAGGTGGGGCCTGGCTGGCCCACCCCGATAAAGGTGGATGGGGCCAATCAGGGGCAGGGCTGGCCAGGGTGAGAGGTCACGGGCAGTCAAACTCCTGGTCAAGGGGACAATTTGCATATTAGCCTTTTATTATATGTAGGATTGTTATTTATTATCATATTATTTATTTATATAATTGTAAACCTACTTTTGCCTGTCCCTGTATAATAGCTTAGTTTATAAATTAGGGACAGTAAGAGATTGACAACAATAACAAATAATAAAATAGAACAATTGTAACAATATACTATGATTAAAATTATGTGATTGGCTTTGGGGCCAGTATTAGGTAAAATAAGGGCTACTTGAACACAAGCACTGTGCTTCTACATGACAGTCAATCTGATAAGCCAGAGGGCTACTAAGTGACAAAGGGGCAGGGATCATATACAGCATGGAGACACTGGATAAGGGATGATTCACAATCCAGGTGGCCAGGAATGGATGGCTCAAGATTTCATCACAGAAGAACACACAATTTCAAATTTTTCTTTATTTCTGTAATTATTCCTTTAATATTTTTGGATTATACCTGACCACACGTAACTGAAACCATGAAAGTGAGACCATGGATTAGGGGGAGACTATTTCACATAAAGACCTACTATACAGGAAGAAATCGGCTCTGCTTGCAACTAAGTGAGGCCTCCCTGCCAGGTTTTCCAGAACCTGATTTCCTGTGTCTGCATTGGGAAGAATACAAGTTTCAGGAGGTCTTGGAGAGAGTTTCATGATGCCAATTCTTGCTTTTATCCATAGGCTGGGCATTTGATGAGCAGTAGGTACCAGTGCAAATGGAGAAAGCGAAGGGGGATTGTAAATATTTGAACATTAGCTTTTCTCCTGGGCTGGACTGCAGCAGGCTTAGAACATGACAGTTGCAGAAGGTGATTTTGGCACACAGCTCCCAAGGAGTCCTAGGTGGAAAGAATCCTGGGAGTACTGGACAAAAACAGTTGAGAGATTTGGCTCATTGTTGGATTGTCACTATCTTGACTTGCAACTTGGTGAATATTATGGAATCTCTCTGCTTCTTTAATTCTATCCGTAAGGAAAGCCAGACACACTTTTGTGGGTGTTTGTGATTTCCTTGCAGTTCCCCTCATCTTAGAATTAGGGTTTTACTTTGCCTACACATGGAGACTCTTGGCTTATCAGGAGTCTAGAGCTCACAGTACAGAGCTTTGTGAAACACGGTGCCTATGAGAAGTATCCTGTTGTACACAACAGCCACAGAGCTGCCCTGGAGCACAGAGCCCGAGTTGGCATACACGGTGCTTATCCTGGGCTTCTCTGACAGAACACCCTGGATGCGAAGTACCTGCCAAGAAGAGATGAATTGTTAGCGTGCGATAAGAGCAAACGGCTGCCAGTGATGTTTTCTTTTCCAAATACTCCAGGACTAATATGTTTCCCACAAATCAATAAGCTAAAATTTGTGCATCTTCATTTTTTTCTTCTTTTGATGGTAAAAGTATTAATGTCCTAATGATATCTCTGCAGTCTGACATTAGCCATATCCCTCAATAGAAACACAAGAAGAAGTGAAAAAGGGACATCCAGTTAGCAAGCCAACCCAACCTGTCAACCAGTAGGATGGTAGTTGTCACACCTGGGATCCCTCGCATCAGAGAAGTGGTGAGGAAGCATACCGAATGCATACTTTGAAAAATTCAATCTGACACATCACTACTTCATGCTGTTATTGATCCCACAGGATTAACACACTTTAGGTTGCCAATCAGTAAATATGTGAGTGCTCAGGTTTCCAAATAGCCTGGGTGAAGTTTACTCAAACAGGACAAGATAGGAATTAGAGAAAACCAATTCGAAGTTCATGAGTCATGAGTCTATATCGACCTCTCTTATTAAAATAGTTCAGTTGAGTTTTGGCTTTTTATCTTTAAGGAAAATCCTATAACTTCTCAAATTTGTTACAGGGGCAGGAAAAAATCTGAGCTTGGAACTCTTGTAGAAAACATTAGGCTCAACCAAAAGGAAAGGGTGTCAGTGACTGTGAAGAAAGAAGTCTTATCTAAAATAAACAAATGAGCCCTGGCTGGTGTGGCTCAGTTGGTTGGGCGTGGTCCAGTGCACTGAAAGGTTGCTGGTTGGATTCCTGGTCAAGCACATGCCTGGGTTGTGGGCTTAATCCCCAATATCGGGTACCGGGTATGCAGAACAGGAGGCATGCATGTTACTCTCTCTCTCCCTCTCCCTTCCTCTCTCTCCAAAAATAAATAAAAAATTAAAAAATTAAAAATCTTTAAAATAAACAAATGATTAAACTTGCAAATAGAGACATGAAAAATATCCTAAACAATTTTCAAATCATCCTTTAGATTGCATTTTCATTCTTTTAACACAGGCATTGTTGTAGAATAGTTATATTATCTGTTTTGGGGGCACATAATCTGAGGCAAGAGTAGCATGCTATTATGGTAACAATCCTTCAGGCTTTAGGTTCAGGCTGGACTCTTTTTTTTTTTTTTTTTTTTTAACCCTCACCCAAGGATATTTTTCCTTTGATTTTTTAGAGTGAGTGGAAGAGAGAAGGAAAGACAGAAAGAAACATGGTTGTGAGAGAAACACATCGATTGGTTGCCTCCTGCACATGCCTAACCAGGGCCTGTTTAGGAGAGAAGCCTGCAACCAAAGTATATTCCCTTGATCAGAATCAATCTCGAGACCCTTGAATCTGCAGGCCAATGCTCTATCCACTGAGCAAACTGTCCAGGGCAGGCTGGACTCTTGTTTCTTTCTACATTTCTTGCTATTTTTTTTAAGCTGTGGCTAATATATTAATAAAAGAAACAATTATTTTTTAAAAATACTGAAAAACAGCAATTTTGGAAGCAGAAATAATTGTATGTTCTAATTTATCCTTGGACCAATTATAAGGCTAGGGTTTGAATTCTCAATTTCCCAACTCCCCAAACCCAGATTCAAACATTTTATCTTCTTTCAAACCTTACCATCTCAATGAGGCCTACACTGATCTTCATATTTAATAGTAGGAGTTGCCCTTCCCCCTATTCACAGTAGAATTATCAGATCCTTTTTATTCTATTACATTTTTCCCCATAGAACTTAACATCTTCAAATTACTATATAACTTACTATTTCTTATGCTTATTGTTTATTGTTTATACCCCCACCCTAAGAGCAAGGATCTTTCTATATTTTGTTTACTGATATATCTTAAGTATGAAAACAAAGTCTGGTATATTATAATTGCCCAACAAATTTTTGTGACTAAATAACTCAGATTATGTCTGCCAAGAATTTGTACGTATATTTAAATTCACTTGAGATTATTTTATTCTTAATCTCAATGCTATAGAAAATGAAATGCATTATGCTATTGCTTTTAATGTCATAGAAAATCCAATAGCATATGCTATTGTTTTAGAAGAGATGTTAAATAATACAAATACCATCTTTAAAATGAGACATTCTTTAACGCTATCATTTACGGTCCTTAGGCCTGGCCTGTGCTCAGGGCCATCTCCCCGGGCTGCCTGCAGCCAGTCCCGCTCTACCAGTTGCCCCACACACAGAGGGCAACCCGCGGCAGGGCGGGGGCCTTGGCCTGGCGCCATCCGTGTCCTCCGCTACCCAACCCCAGTTCCCCATTTGCCATTGGGCAATCAGAGCCTGCTGGCTAGGGAAAGGGACTGAGAGGTGGTCAGTGGACCTCATAGTGACTGGTCAAGCTGTCATTCTGGTCATTCCGCCATTTGAGTCAGTTTGCATATTACCCTTTTATTATATAAGATTAGAATTGGGTGGCAAAATTAATTCTGTTTTGTGGTTACAGTCATTTAAACCCTTTCATTTTAACTTCATATTTGGTAATGTGAAAGAAGGTGGTTCTGTAGATGATTCTTTTTTTTTTTTTTTGCCTAATTTCAGGGCCTATTCTGAGCTTATATCCTGATTGGTAATAGGAATAGCAATATGGGTCAACATGAATAACCAAGTTCATATTTTTCCAATTATTCCCAGTGGCAAGTATAGCCTTTGTATGATGGGGCACATTGTCTAGTACTGATGTTAAATTGGTACCTGGTAACCTGAAAAAGTTAATGGGCTATACCTCTTCATTCTAACAAAATCTTTACTCTTTCCATATATACATGTGCTCAGTTCTGGAACATCCCATGTGACCCAGTCAATTCTTCCACATTGCCTAAACAGCTTGTTGTACAGCCTTGCCTTTGAGCTCAGAGAAGTGTAGGAACTTACTTCTGACCCTGGAGGATCCTTGGGGTTATAGATCAGCAACTTCCTGGCATTAGGATGGCATCCTGCCAAAATATCCCCGGTGTCAGGATCGATGACTAAGTTATCCACTAAGGTGTCCAACTGTATTACCTTTCAACAAAGAGGAAACAGTGAAGACGTTCCTTCCCCCTTCCCCCTTGCACCAGCTCCTTCTGGATCCCCACATTAGTTATTATTATCTTTTTTTTTTTTTTTTGGTTGATCCTCAACTGAGGATATTTTTTTCTATTTATTTTTAGAGAAAGTGGAAGGGAAGGAGGGTAGAGCTAGAGAAACATCAATGAGAGAGAGACACATCAGTTGGTTGCCTTCCACACTTGCCCTAACCAGGGTGGGATCAAACCTGCAATGCAATTACATGCCCTAAACCTAGATGGAACCTGCAATGGCTCAGTGCATGGGCTGGCACTCTAACCATTGAGCAACACTATCCAGGGCTAACATTAGTATTTTTAATGGGCTTTGTTACTGGTTATTAGTGGTGTAAGAACACATTCTCACTGTCAATATTTTTTTTTAACTACTCATGTTTTTTTCATTCAAGGAGCACATTCTCAGGTCAAGCGTGGGAGCAAATATAAGAGGCCATGTTGTGAGGGCAAGCCAGGGTACTCTTACCTTCAGTCGAGTTAAATCCCAGTTATCATGAATTTTCATTACATGAATGTTCTTAGCCATTACATCAGCTACATAGATATACCTTTGAAGTAAATCACATTTACACTGAAGCAAGTAGCATTAAGAGATGACATTACATTTTATTGTGAAGATGTATAAAAATTCACAATAGTTAAAGTACCACTGCACTGCCATTTTAAACCACAGCAAAAATAATAATAAAAAAAATAATGGAGTGGTATTTTTAATATTCTTGAAGTGCTTTATGTAAGTGTTGAATATGAGATATGGCTATAAAATAATGAAACTGGTGTTTCTAGATGACATATAGACTCAATCTCATTACTTTGGAATATTTAAATTGAATGTCTTTAAATTGAATGGAGGTAAGTGGATCTTTAAATTGAATGGAGGTAAGTGGTCTTCTTATAAGACAAAAAGATACTTCCAAAAACCAGTCCTTGGCAAGAAGAATCAGATGACCATGAAGCTCAATCACAATCATTTTTAAAAAGAAGGAGAACATTTGGAGCTGTTTTCCACAGGGATCATCTCTATTAATTATTTCAAATTTATATATCAACACTCATAGTACTTTGCTTTTTAAAATACCTTCCATTTTAAAACTTTAAGAGTTTCCTATAAAACTGCATGCTTCATAAAAAGTGGTGTGTTGTTGTTTTTTTTATAGAAAATTCTGCTGCAGAGAATCAGTAAGACTGAAACTTATACAACTTAATGTCCAATCTAAGTCAGTATAAAGCCTAGCCATACCTGATCCCTGCACTCATATGTTGACAATTTAAGCTAGGAAGTAACCTACCTCTTAAGGGAAGGAGTCCACTAATGTCAAGGTCAAAGGGTAGAAAAATTATAAATGAGCTTACTTACTTTTTGTCTAGTGAGATTGTGATCCCATTGGCAGAACTTAATCCTTCGGCCACCACTTTGACTTCCTTTGGACTATAGAAAAGAACGTAAGTCCACTGAAGATCTATGAATGTCTCTAATAGTCTCAAGAAGTGGCTGGTAAAATAGTGGTCTCTGGTGGCATAGAACTGTTCTGGCCCGAGAACCACGATGTCATTCACACTAAAGTGGAGAGAGAGAGAGAATTCTAAAATAGTGATTGTTGTCAAAAATAACCAAATTTCTACAAAGACCAACATGTTTGTCATCTTGAAAAAGTATACATGAACTAGTATGAATTTTAAAAATCCACAGAAAGTAAATGATTTTTCATTGCCCTGATTTTTTTTTTAGCCACTTGTTATTCTCGTTCCTCTCGTTTTGCAGAAGTTATTAAAACCCAATAAATATACAAATAAGCTTCACTCTCCAAATCTTTGGACTTGTAAATGTTTATAATAGTGCAGTTTGCCAATGGTGTTGGTTCTTCTCTTTCTGCAATTAGGTTTCTCCAGTGTTAGGAATGGCCACACGACTAGCTTTGGCCAATGAAATGAAGGGATTGTGTGTGGCTCTCAGATGGAGGACTTTAAGAGCTAGTTCATGTCCCACCATGCTTCCCCTACACTTCTATGTAACCAGCAACTTTCCTGATGATGCATAGTGTGGTTCTCCTAGGGTCCTGTAGGAGGGTAATACCAAACTGAGTCCCCATATCAGGTGACTGCATTAGAGGCATAGCATGAGTAAGAAAAGAAAACTTTATAGGGAAGGTAGGATTTTCTTTTCTGCTACTTTAGCATAACCCAGTTCATCCTGACCTTATTTTCTTTGAGTAAGTGAAATTGTAGTGGCTATTCCTTCCATTTGTGTTCTTTAATACGATTACATTTTTTAAATAAAATAAGTCTTAAAAAAAAATAAGTCATTTTCATTTTGGAAAAGTAAAAAAAGAAGACAATGACTTGAAAATGTAAAAAAAAAAAAAAAAAAAAAAAAGGTTAAATCTGTTTAGATTAGATTGGTAAAGAAAACTGGATGAATCCAGAAAATATTTTTAGTTTTTTTTTTTTTAATATATTTTATTGAAAAGAGAAACACCACCTGACCCCACTCATTTATGGATAATAAAGAACATTATAAACTGATGAACCAAAAGATAGATATAGAGACAGTAAAGCAACAAGCAGACTGTCAAATTACAGTGGGGCGGGGAGGGAGATCTGGGGGAGATAATAGATCAACTGAAGGACTTGTATACATGCATATAAGTACAACCAATGGACATAAAACTCTGGGGAGGGAGGGTATGTATGGGAGGAAGGGAGGGAGGCAAAAAAATCAATAAAATATATTAAAAATAAATAAATAAATAAATAAATAGATTTTATTGATTTTTTACAGAAAGGAAGGGAGAGAGATAGAGTTAGAAACATCAATGAGAGAGAGTCATCAATCAGCTGCCTCTTGCATACCCCCTACTGGGGATATGCCTGCAATCAAGGTACATACCCTTGACCGGAATCGAACCCGGGACCTTTCAGTCCCCAAGCCGACGCTCTATCCATTGAGCCAAACCGGTTTCAGCTATTTTTAGGTTTTGATGTGTAATGACTTTTCCAAGGTCATCTTTCAGGTCTCAGCGTGAGCATTCCTTCCTCTCAAAGGTATTGCCTGACTCCATAGGTTAAATTGAATTCTCTCAAGAATGGCACCTTGTTCTACTCCTTAAAATGCTTGGTCAACATGGGTATCAGAGCACTTCTTAAGGTTCTCTTTAGATCCTCTTTAGAGCCTGACTTGCCCTGTTCTAGTTGGCACTATTTCAACCAGCTCTTCAAAGGATCTGGCAGACTTTCCACAGTAGGCTTTATGGTGCTTTATGGTGCCTGTGTGGGTCTCTGGCTCCCACTTTCAGGCTTTTGTGTTGACAACAAAACACAAGATATCACCAGGCATGACTGGTTCAGGTAGCAGTGAATAGCCCTGAGGCAAACCTTTGAATAATGGGAGATAAGGCTGGTTTATTTGCTATGACTGTCCCCCATATGAGTTTCTAGAAGTGCTGCCATAACAAAGTGCCACAAACTAGATGGCATAAAACAAAACAAATGTATTATTTTGTAGTTCTGGAGGCTAGAAATCTGTAATCAAGGCGTTGATAGGACCATGCTCCCCGTGAAGTTCCTGTGGTAGAATCCTTCCTAGTCTTTTTTGGCTTCTAGTAGCCCCAGGCAATCACTTCAGTCTCACACTCCCATCTTTACCTGGCATTGTCCCTGTGTGAGCCCACCAATATGGAGGGCGTTAACTAATAACATGTACCAATGATCCTATTTCCAAATGAGGTCATGTTCTGAAATATTGGGTTAACATTGCAATATATCTTTTTGAGGGAACACAGTTCAACCCTCTTCCCTGCCTTAAGCTGTTCTCTCACTTTTACATCCTGGGATTGTACTCCCTAATCAAGTTGTCATGTATGGAGTTTTCCCTGAGGCTGTGATTTCTGAGGAACTCTTCCTGTGAGGTCATGTTATTGCATCTAAGCCTCACAATCACCAGTGTGGTGAATCAGACCAATAAGAGAACCTCATTTTGCTTAGGAAATTGAAGCACAGGTTAAGTGATTTGTCCAGTTTCCCAGTCACTCCATGGCAGTCCTTGTCCCCACTGTGCCTCAGAACGCCGCTGCCATGGCTTAGTGGTTGAGCATTGACCTATGAACCAAGAGGTCATGGTTCAATTCCCGATCTGGGCACATGCCCAGATTGTGGGCTTGATCCCTAGTGTGGGGCATGCAGGAGGCAGTCAGTCAATGACTGTCTCATTATTGATGTTTCTATTGCTCTCTCGCTCTCCCTTCCTCTCTGAAATCAATAGAAAACCTATTTTTTCAAAAAAAAGAGAGAAGAGTTCAGTAACTTCAACTAATCTCACTTTTTCTGCCCTCTGCTTTTGTTGCTCCCAGATTATATGGGAGAGGTCCATACATGATGTTGAGAAAGAACAAAGACAAGAAAGTGAACTTACATTTATTTTCCCATTTTTCTGTCTCATGAAAAGATGAACCTCTACTGTTTTGGAACCTGTCTTTCAGCGTTGAGTCCATTTTATAAGACAAATTCTTCATTGTTTGTTACAGCCTTGAAACAGGCAACCTATCCACTAAAAAACATACTATTGTTTCGCAACACAATAAGGAAGATGTTTAGCATTGCCCTTGGGAGCACAGCTTTGAATTCAGACAGATCTAGGTTTACATGCTGGGTCTGCCACTTACAAATTATGTAACGTGAGCAATTTTTTAATCTAAAACACCAAGTGTCAGCTTACCCATGCCTGTTATTGAAGGCTGTTTGAGAATTAAATTAAGTATTTTTGTACAATGCCTGGCCCAAGAGCGAAGCTTGAAAAGTGTGAATTTTTATATGTGCCCACAGACTTTTTTTCAAATTCCACCTTGACACTCTCATTGAACAAAGGAATAGCCCATATCTTGAGGTTGGTTGTAACACCCAGTGGATGTGGCTCTCAGACACGACCTACCAGGATAACTAGAAATGGGTGCTGTGGAATTAGAGCTGGGAATCTAATTGAGCACTTTTTATAGGATTAAAACGCTTTTAAAAAGTTGGGAAATATAAAGACATTCAATACTAATACAGCAATTTCTAGTGAGGTGCTGGGCAGTGTCAGTATGGGAACCTTTAGAGAGCTTCAGAAAACAATGCTACAGAACAATCGTTTGAGGAAGCCTGCTGAACCCAAGCAAACAAAGCACACAGCAGAGGCGCAGAATAAATAGATTGCAAAATACTTTAAATCCATACCTTTGGAGAAGTTCGTGTTTTATAGTTTTCAGGTGAACCAGAGAACGTTGTTGTGCCTCAAATTTAAATATCTCCACAGTAGACTTCATGTGGGGATGATTCACAACATAAAGGTACACAGTGTGGTCTAAGTGGGAAAAGGCATAATTTCCCATAAGTTTACTCCTATTGCAACTTTTATTAGACTTAGTGTGCAACTTGGTCACGTCCAAGAGAAGAGTTTTTCTCATCCATCTTGCCTTGGATTCCCACAGTCCACTCAATAGGCAAGTCAGACAAATGCCAGTATCGCTATTTTATTGAAGAAACTGAAACTCAGAAGGGGACTGATTTGTCAGCAATTTTACCATCACCAAGTGGCAGAGCCAAACCCTGATGTTTCCACATAGTCTCTTCATCCTCACCTGCATTCCCCTTTTTAACAGGGAGGTACAGAACTACAGCGGTGCATGGACATGATATGGTTTCCCCAGATGGCTCTTCAACAGGAGAAGTGGATGCAAGCAAACAAAGCTTTGCTGAGAATTCTTTTCGGTGGATATTTCCCACATTCAACACACGTTCCAGAAATGCCAGGGCTGTGTGAACATCTTAAACTAAGTAATACTTCCCAGCTAGAAAATGAACTTCTGATGCAAGCCAACCACCTGAGGCTGCAATACCAATATTTAGTGAGTCTAGTGTACATGGAATGTAAACATGAATGCACAAGGAAACAGAGTCAACAATTGTGGGTATTAACTCAAGAGTGTTCAACTATCTGCTTTCATATTGGACCATGAATGGCTGTGAAAAGGATTGAGGTTGAGACAGGATTTTATTTTGGGACAATAAATCACATATATGTGTAAACATTCTATAAACTATAAAGCAATACAAAATTGTTATGTGACTGGTTATGTATAATTACCTTTTAAAGAAGAACTTGCTAAGCAAGCAGATATATAGGGATGGGCAAATGCAAACACACACACACACACACACACACACACACACACACACACACACACACTTACAATAACACTAATCTTGGCCCTTCACCCCTGGGGGAGTGAATCTAATCTTCAAGCTTCTCTTAGAATGATCCTTCAATGCCTAAACCTTACTGGAGAGCTGGCTCTCCTGCAGGCAACACCAAAGCACATCAGAGAAGGTGCTCTGCCTTCTTACATTCTCCTTAAGGCACTCCCACCTGGAGGAGAGAGCAGCATGCTGAGCTACAATCTTCCAGACCATACATCTGTTATCATCAATCAACAGTTTGTTTCTAAGAGAGCCACACCCTTTGTTTGCTGCCTACTCAACAAATTCCCTACCAACTCCCTTTGTCCCACCTCTTACAGGGCTAGTCTAAACCAGGTGGAAAATCTTGGAAGGTTTACAGTTGTTTGTATGGAAAAAGACATGCAGGTTATGTTTATTTCAATAGCTTTATTAACTCAAAAGAATGTCACAACGGCACAGTAAACCTACTTTCCCCCACCCCTACATAAGAATTTCGGGGAATATTTAACCTACTTCATAAAATAGTATTCAGCCAGGACTGGTTTGGCTCAATGGATAGAGCATGGGCTTGGGGACTGAAGGGTCCCGGTTCGATTCCGGTCAAGGGCATGTACCTTGGTTGTGGTCATATCCCCAGTTGTGGGTGTGCAAGAGGCAGCTGATCGATGACTCTCTCTCATCGATGTTTCTAGCTCTCTCTCTCTCTCTTCTTCTCTGTACAAAATCAATAAAATATATTTAAAAAATAAAATAAAATAAATAAAATAGTATTCAAACATTTTTAAAGATACCCATTTTTTAAAACTTGAACAAGTCTGTTGGTGCAGACCAAACTTATTGGATAAGTGGATGGAAATAATTATGAATCATTAAGTCAGTCCAGCAAATTTATACTTCATACATTGCAGTTCCATTAGATATTTGGAAGAATTAAAGCACCATTTCTTTAAACATTCTGAATTGTAATTCTTCCATTTGGTCTTCCCTTTATGTAGTAACCATTAGGGTTATGGTGCTTTATAAATTCACTGTTCTTATTTTCTACATGTTCTATGGATCCACAGGCATTTAAAAACTAAATTAATTTGGAATTAGGAACTAAAAAATAATATTTGAAATTGTTTTAAAGCATAAACAATGTATTAATATGTATGTTTTGTTTTTATTACAGCTTTTTTTTTTTTGAGATATAATTCCCTTGACATTTCCCTCATTCTCCCTCTTATTCCTAAGCATTCAAGCTTTACCTTTGTCAATGAAAGTACTGATCCCATGTGGATTGAATGATGCTTTGTCAAAACCATCACTGATTGGCAGTGCCTGGACCCTTGAGTTCTGCTCATTCAGATCCATCATGAAGATTTGTCCTGGCTCATCTGGTGCAAAGCTTGGCATGCCAGGATATTTTAATCCCTTTAAAAAATAGAGAATAAGTATGTACATATATACATATCAAAACAATGTTTTCATAAGAAAATTAAAATCTCAAAGTCTAGCAAAGATGCTAAAAACTCTAAACTTCTTTTAGATTTCTGGGACATTTTTATCTGTCAGCTCTTGCCGTTATCTGATCTGAGGGATTAGCAATGTCATCTAAACTGCTGAGAATGGAAGAATCCAAATTCAGTTTTTAATATTAGAAAGAAAGGGTTTAGACAAAAAGTACCGTGCAAGAGACAAGAGGCTGTGTTACTTTGCGTGGGTCCCTTGCCTATCTGTGCCTCAGGTTCCTCTTTTAGAAAATGAGGACATTAGCCAAAACCGGTTTGGCTCAGTGAATAGAGCGTCGGCCTGCAGACTGAAAGGTCCCAGGTTTGATACCGGTCAAGGGCATGTACCTTGGTTGCGGGCACATCCCCAGTAGGGGGTGTGCAAGAGGCAGCTGATCGATGATTCTCTCTCATCGATGTTTCTAACTCTCTATCCCTCTCTCTTCCTCTCTGTAAAAAATCAATAAAAATATATTTAAAAAAAAAAGAAAAAAGAAAAGAAAGAAAATGAGGACATTAAAATGCATGATTTCTAAGACTATCCATTCCTGATATTCTATAACTGACCTTCCTCAAAGTGGAGGTAAGGGATGTGTAGTTTCATTGTATTGCTTCCATCCTGACATCTATTACATTTCATAGTAGAATTAGCCAAGAGTTAACTTTGGGGAACTAGTCTCAAAAAATTGACTATTTCTGACCAATTTTGTTCTTATAGATATGTCTGAAAATTCGAATATGAATCTTTTTTCCTAAGTAATGCAAAAAGTTCTTGAAGAGTGGCCCTGTGTATTGGAGGACCAGATATTTATAAACATAGGCATCCTGAAAGTGTTGGGCCTTTGCTGCATCCATGGTCATTGTATCAAATCTTGGGGTTGACCTATTCTACACAAGTTGCAACTTTCTCCCCACATTCCTCCCCCATCACTCTGATAATATCAACCTTAATATCAACAACCCTGTATCTTTTCTTGTATCCTCGTTTTTCCTCTTATACTCAACTTAAATTTTCTCTTTCCTACTCTTCCTTCTCTCTCTCTCTACTTTGCCCTTCCTTTTCTTATACATACACATACACACACACATACACTCACACACACATACACTTATGCACACTCACACACATGCACACACTCACACACTTACAATAACACTAATCTTGGCCCTTAACCCCTGGGGGAGTGAATCTAATATTCAAGCTTTTCTTAAAATAATCCTTCTATGCCTAAATCTTACTGGAAAGCTGACGCTCCTGCAAGCAACACTGAAGCACATCAGAGAAGGTGCTCTGACCTCTTGCATTCTCAAGGCACCACACCTGGAGGAGAGAGCCTCATGCTCAGAGCTACAATCTTCCAGACCTCACATCTGTTATCATCAATCAACAGCTTGCTCCTAAGGAAGCTACATCCTTTGCTTGCTTCCTCTTTATCAAAACCCCTACCAACCCCCTTTGCCCTGGTCCACTCCTTACAAGGCTAGTCTAAATTAGGAGAAAAAACTTAGATGCAAAGTTATCATCCCAACTTTAATCAGACATCCAATGATATTTATCAACCTTTTTGTTCATTCTAATAGGTAATCCATTGCACATCTCCCAAGTGTTTATCCTAAATTTATTTCTTTATCTTCCTCTTTACCAGTATTCTCAACGAGTAACTTTACCTCCTATTTCTCTGGTGGGAAAATCACAAACAAATATGCCATCCAACATGAATTTCCTCTGACTCCCTGCTTTCCGCCTCAATGTTTCTTTAATTTTATCAATTCTCTTCTTTTCTCCCTCTTTGACAGAGTTGATAGAGTTGAACTTTAATCTCCTCAAAATAATTTCCAGATGGTTAAGAATGTCTTTCTATGTATGGTATTTTCAGGAGCTAAATAAAAAGCCATTTATTTGCTTATGTGGTAATTTTTCAGCAACATGCCACATTTGTTTTAAATGTTTACTACTGACATTAAAACGTTTATGTTCAAGACACCTGTATGGGGGCCAACAGCACCCTCTTTATCAACATGTCAGAAACTGTCACCATGACCAGGCGCCTGGAGAGAGGGCTCTGAGACATGCGTATGTAGCAATTCTGTGCTGTGATATCCACTTTCCTTCCAAAAGGAGGGCACTAAGCCAATGTCTGAAGATGTTCTCCTTTCTTCTTTCTGCATCTATAGATTGAAAGCAAGGAACTACTTCAGGGGAGAAGAAAGGAAAATATAAGAAGAGGGAAGTAAGGTGGAATTTCTTGTTTCTCTTATCCATCTTCCTGGAAACAGACCCAGACTGGAACTCAGAGGACCAAAAGCTCATCCTCAAGCTTGTCTCTTTGCTCAGTTAATGAATCCTCTGTACCTCAGTTTTGGTCAGATATATATATTGTTGACAGTAGTATAGAAGTCCCCATTTCCTCCCTTTTTGCTTCCCCCCATGCCCCACCCATGGCCTTTTCTGCACAGTTGTCTGTGTCCATGGGTTAAGCAATCATTAATTGCTTCCCCTCCTCTCAACCTCCCTTTCCTCTGAGATCTGTTATTCTGTTCCATGCCTATGACCTATTTTAGTCATCAGTTTATTTTGTTCATTAGGTGCCACATATAAGTGAGATCGCATGATATATGTCTTCCTCTGACTGGCTTATTTCACTTAGCATAATACTCTCCAGATCCATACATGCTGTCACAAAGGGGAAGAAATCATTCTCTCTCTTTTATATACATATATATATATATATATATATATATATATATATATATTGATTTCATAAAGGGATAGGGAGAGAGAGAGAGCTAGAAACATCAATGATGAGAATCATTGATTGGCTGCCTCCTACACAACCCCTACTGGGGATCAAGCCCACAACCTGGGCATGTGCCCTTGACCAGTAGCAAACCTAGGACCCTTCAGTCCGCAGGCAGACACCCACTGAGCCAAACCAGCTAGGGAAGAAATCATTCTCTTTTATAGAAGAGCGTCTTCCATTGTGTTCCATACCTTTTCTATCTACTTATCTATTGATGGTCATTTAGGCTGTTTTCAAATCTTACGTATTGTAAATAATGCTGCTATGAACATGGGGTACATACATTCTTTCTGATTGGTGTTTCTGGATTCTTAGGATATAGTCCCAGAAGTGGAATCACTGGATCAAATGGCAGTTCTATCTTTTATTTTTTGAAAATCTCCATACTGTTTCCCACAGAGGCTGCACCAGTCTGCCTTCTCCTATTAACTCCACAACCCGTTTATTTGATTTCTTATTCTCGAGGCCCTGTCTTCAGAAAGTACATCCTCTCTCTCTCTCGCTTTGGCACTTATTTATTTATTTATTTATTTATTTATTTATTTATTTATACCAATGTCCCGTTCTTTTGCTTGAAAAATTGCTCATTTCTCATTCCTCAAAACCAATGGTCCCCTAACTTTTCTACTTTTTCAAACATGCATTTATTTTGTCTTTCATTCACTGTCAAATTTCTTGGAAACATCACTTGAATTTGTTACCAGATTTGATTTGTTCAAACTTTCAGAAATCAGTATTCTGTAGTTTATAGAAATACCTCTATAAATACCTCATATCAATGACCTCCAAAATATCCCATGTGAAAACCCCTGTACTTTCTCTTGCTTATATCTCTGAGGCATTTGACACTATTGTATATCCCTTTGAAGGAGAAAGAGGAGGAGGAAAATAATTTGCTGATATAAGTCCTGCTTCTCTTCCTGCCTCTTCCTCCTCTGTCCTCATCCATCCCTCTTTCCTTCTTGCTCTATACTCTTTCTTTACAGATCTTAATCATAACATTTCAGATATTTCTTCTATACCAATGATTTTCAAATCTACACATTTAACAGGAATCTCTTTCTGGAGTTCTAGCTTGCAATCCCAACTTCTTCCTAAGGACAACCCATAATCAAATTGTCAAAACCAATATAAACATTCTCTCCTCAAATCCTGCTGCTCATTCATATCTATTATTCTTTTTTAAAGGCATCACTGTTCTCCCCAATATCAGGCCGTAAAATCCAGTCTTTAAGTCCTCCCTTTTTCCAATAGTCAATTTGTCATCAAGTCCAGTAGCTTAGATAATGACACCATTGAAGGAAAAAAATGTCAGAAATGTATAGTCCTTCCTTTTTTACCTGGGGAAAATTAAGCCCAGGGAAGCCAATTGTTTAGATTACTCAGGTAGTTAATTATACAGCCTTGTTACCACACCATAAAGAAAGGTGTGACAGTAGAGAATATTGCCCAGGAAAACAGGTCAGGGCAGATCACACCAAGTACCATGGTAGCTTCGGGGAGTGAGGGCATTGCCAACTAGTACAAAGGGTGAAGCATTGCAAACAACTTGGCCTAGATTAAATATCATGATGATCTTGATGATGAATCACCTCTGATAAAATGACTTCTCATTCACTCGGTTTTCTGTTTAAGGCAATTGGGTAGAATTTGTGGCAATTGTTTTTATATCATTCACCACTAAAAATGGTGAACATCACCTGGAGATGCAGGCATTTTATTTCCCCCAACATACTACAGGTATGTGTGGGCAGGCATTGAAATCCTCCACTGGCCTCATTTATGAGCACATGCATCCAGTAAATATTCAAGCACCTGTGTATGCCAGGTGCTGTGTTAGGTGCTGAGCATGGTCATGAACACTCCAAAGTCCTGGCCTGGAGGAACTTGAAATCTAGGGAGACAGCACCAAGCAAGCTCATCAGATATGGTATTGAATGTAAGGGTCTAAGCTCAGGGAATCCAAAGCACCAGAGAAGAGGGCCTCACCCAGCAAGAGAGCATTAGGAAAGAGTTCCCTCAAGAACTGAAGTGCCGCCGAAACTGGTTTGGCTCAGTGGATAGAGCGTCAGTCTGCAGACTGAGAGGTCCTGGGTTTGATTCCGGTCAAGGGCATGTACATTGGTTGTGGGCACATCCCCAGTGGGGGGGTGTGCAGGAGGCAGCTGGTTGATGTGTCTCTCTCATCGATTTTTCTAGCTCTTCATCCCTTTCCCTTCCTCTCTGTGAAAAATCAATAAAATATATATATATATATATATATATATATTTTTTTTTTTTTTTTAAAAAGAAAAGAAAGAACTGAGGTGCCACTACAGTGAAACCTTACAAAGAACTAAAAATTAGTGACATGTGTAAAGAGGGGAGTAGCCTTGGTAGCAAAGAGATAACATGCCAAGGGCCAAGGTAAGGAAGCAGATAGACTAAAAAGATCTAGCACATACAATTACCCTTGAAATCAGCAGCTTCCAAACATGTTCTAGGATGACAAGGAAGGGTGACAGCAAAAAATAAGAAGGACTTGAATAATCTTTATTAAAGTCATAAAGATTAAAAATAAGCAAGGCTATAAGTATGAGTTGTTTGTTAGTTTACAAAAAGACCTCCATTATTTAAAACTTTCAGGTTAATATTTCTCATGGCATTATTTGTGATGAAAATCTCCATTGTCTATATAGCAGCAATTCAATACGTTCAGTTCCAATGAAAATAGAAAAAGTAGCCAAAACCGGTTTGGCTCAGTGGATAGAGCATCGGCCTGGGGACTGAAAGGTCCCTGGTTCGATTCCGGTCAAGGGCATGTACTTTGGTTGCGGGCACATCCCCGGTAGGGGGTGTGCAAGAGGCAGCTGATCGATGATTCTATCTCATCGATGTTTCATAACTCTCTATCCCTCTCTATTCCTCTCTGTAAAAAAATCAATAAAATATATTAAAAAAGAAAAGAAAATAGAAAAAGCATACTGTAAGAACTGCAAATATTATTTCCTTACAGCAAAGAAATCTCTTAGCTATACAATAATCATTTTTGAAAGACCTATTTGGCATAACATTGAAAAATCTAAATTGGCCATAGAACATTTAATTCAACAAAGAAAAAGATTTTCTAGACAGCTTTGTTTTATCTTTGGTTTTGAAGGGAAATTGAAGAAATAAAATCCCTCCCATCTGCCCCCTCCTCTCCCTCCCCCCCCCAACCACCAGAAGCAGTTTAAAATAAAAATGAGACCTTAACGATATGGTGCATATGTAAGAATTTAGAAATTCACACCATGATGGATTATTATATGTGCCCACATTTTTTTGGCCAAAATAAAATAGATTTAAAAGTTCATTTTATTTGGTAGTATTTTCATGGCTAAAATGGAACATTAGGACTTGCAATTTTGTAAGTCAGAATTTTCATTAAAAATGTAGTCAGTAAATCTCTTTCAACAAATTCCATGTCATTTCAAATTGCAATTGATTTAACAAATTTATGACAATGTTCAATATCTTCAGTTCCTTATAGTTTCCTGATCATCCCAAGCTGTGAAGGGTGTAATGGGAATAAAATTCTACTTTTTCTCTACTTCTCTCTAAAGGACTGAAAAGAATAAGGAACCTAAGGCAGAAAGTGCTTAAGGTTTTGTATTGAGTAACATGGTTAACATTCAATCTACAAACATTTACTGAGCTTCAAATACAGGCAAGCATAATGAGAGGAATACTACCGTAGTTATTGAGAAGGTGACTACTCAAAGCTGAGGGACAGATCTGGAGATTAGTTTAGAAATTGAACAAAAATCATTACATATTTATTGAGTCCCCACTGACTGAATATGAAACTGCCCACAGGGAGCAGGCCTGAGCATTCCTGGGTGTCCTGTTTAGCTCTCCAGAATCCTGTTTTGGTTTTTTTAGTTGTCTAGTTTACCCGCAGGTGGGATCAGTGTGTAGGGGTCCATCTGGCAGCTGTAATGGGCAACATTAATGTGCTGTCTATACAGGTATCGACGTGAGTATCTGAGGGATATGGAAGATACTCACACTGGAGATAAAAGCCAGCCCACTAGGAAGTATATCAATATCTTCGGAGCCATTTTCTGCAAAAGAAGGATAGGATCAGAAAGATGCGTGTTTGAAAGCTTAAAAGATTAATCTCACAGCCAAAACTTTAAATTTCTTTTGGAAACTCCATTGACTTTTTTGCAGCTATTTACTTGGGAAACTATATTAACTTTCAAGAATCCCACAGGCAGGCTACTCTACAATGAAACCTGAGTCAGACTCCAATACAAATTTTTTTCTTAGAATTCCATCTCAGGAGAAAAAAGCAAATAACTATAAAATGAATTGATATCCTAGATTTACTCTTCCAATAATAACATCTAGCTGAGAGATTCAGCTTTACTCCCCATAGAAAACTTGGTCTATAGACCAAGTGATAACATTTGGAAAGTCGTCATTTTGAAGGTCTCTTAAGAGGCCTCTCTCCCAAGCATGTTTCTTCTTCCAACTTGTTGAGGCTTAAAAATTCTACTATCGATATTACCTGATCATATGGGAAAGTTTTGAGTGATTTCTCTCTTTTACAAAGGCAATATGTCTTAAGATGGACTATTAAATATAAATGAATGTAAAAGAATTTGGTCAGATCTCCTTCCACTGAGAGCTGGTCCTGAGCATTTTTTCTTTGGGAAGAAGCATACAATCAGTAACTTATGACTGAGACCAGGATGAAAAGGGGCTTGCGAGTCTCCTAGTAGAGAGACAGAACCACAGGGGATATGGCCCAAGCAGGCAGGACTGAGAGTGAAGGCATTGGTTACCTAGTGTGACAAAATTTATGTTATAAATATGGTAGAATCAATATGTGTCAAACCCAACATGCTCTTTTTATTTTTTTTTATTTTTTTATTTATTTTTTTATTTTTTTTTATTTTTATTTTTTTTTGTTATCTATAGGTTGTGGGTTTATCAGTGAGTTTGTTTCCTTGTATTATAAGAAAAAAGTGTGATTTAAAGTACAGTAAAAATATATCTGTATAAACCTACATTTCCAGTGTTTTGTTTTTTTTTTGAAGGAATATTTAATATTAACATTGTGAGTTATTATCTTTTGCATATCCAAGTTACACATTTCAAACAAATCGTCATTTATATTTACAGTATACAGATGCAAAGCATTAATTTCCCACTAAATCATCACTTTCTTAAAATGGTACATGTGATGTTATGAAATTAGCTATTAAGCATTCGAAATAGTGGAAAAGAGGTCCTTTCTTCAGTCTTTTTTTTTTTTTTAAATATATATATATATATTTTTTATTTTTTTTTTGCCCCCCCCCCCCTCCCTCCCTCACATCCCCTCCCTCCCCAGAGTTTTATGTCCATTGGTTGTACTTATGTGCATGTATAAAAGTCCTTCGGTTGATCTATTATCTCCCCCAGATCTTCCTCCCCTCCCCGCTGTAATTTGACAGTCTGCTTGTTGATATACTATCTTTATATCTATCTTTTGGTTCATCAGTTTATAATGTTCTTTATTATCCACAAATGAGTGAAGTCACCAACATGCTCTTTTTAAAATGTGATGTCCATACTCTCCCATCAAGAGGTAAAGTCTATATTCTGTTCATTTGAACCTGGATAGACCTTTGTAATTGCTCTGGCAAATAGAATGAAGTGATGCTATAGGACTGACATACAAATTTAAAGTCACAGCCATAGCTTTTGCTAGTGTTCTCTCTCTCTCCCTCTCCTTCTCTCTCCCTCTCCCTCTCCCTCTCCCTCTCTCTCTCCCTCTCCCTCTCCCTCTCCGTCTCCCTCTCCCTCTCCCTCTCCCTCTCCCTCTCCCTCTCCCTCTCCCTCTCCCTCTCCCTCTCCCTCTCCCTCTCCCTTTCCCCTTCCCCTCTCCCTCCCCTTCTCCTCCCCCCCATCCCCCCCCCCCCTCTCCTTCCATGAGTCTTGGCATCCCTGAACCTAAATGTAAGAAGTCTGGCTACTTTCAGGTTACCGAGGAGAAACTATAAAGAGGTCATACAAAGTAGAGAGAGGAGGCCCTAAGGCACCCTTAGAAAGGGTCATGCTAAAGCAGGACTACCAATTAGTTCTATAATCATGTCACATTTTGGAACAAAAGTTCTCACAGCCAGCTAAAAAAACAAGTGGAACCTGCTGTGGAGTAATATGGCATTTTCCCCCCTTTTATCCCAGTCAACTTCCTTTAAACCATTCTCTTCAAAATATTTGGATAATCAGTATGTTGACTCAGGTCTTACAACATTAGCTGTAGTTTCTACGTCTCAACTCTGTTTGAATTACATAATCTGAGAGTAGACTTAGATATCATTTAACCCAGTGATTTTCTTTTTTTTCAAAAACATTTTTATTGATTTCAGAGAGGAAGAGAGAGGGAGAGAGGGATATAAATATCAATGATAAGATAGAATCATTGATTAGCTGCTTCCAGCATGCCCCCTACTGGGGATCGAGCCCACAACCCAGCATGTGCCCTTGAACTGTGGCCTTCAGTCTGAAGTTCCAACACTCTGTCCACTGAGCTAATCCGGCTAAGGCTAATCCAGCGATTTTCAACCATTTTCATCTCCTGGCACACCTAAACTAATTACTAAAATTCTGTGGCACACCCAAATATTACTATATTTTTATCATTCTAACAAAAAAGTAGGTATCATTTTGATTCATTCACATTGGACAGCTATTGTGTTGACTGTTGTCATTTTTTTTTATTTGACAATCTAAGGCAGTGGTTCTCAACCTTTCTAATATGTGACCCTTTAATATGGTTCTTCATGTTGTGGTGACCCCAACCATAAAATTATTTCCGGTGCTACTTCATATCTGTAATTTTGCTACTGTTATGAGTCGTAATGTAAATATCTGTGTTTTCCGATGGTCTTAGGTGACCCTGCTAGCGGTTCTCAACCTGTGGGTCGCTACAGCAGGGTAGGGTGGGTGGGAAGAAATCAACCAATGAACTTGTATGCATAGATGCATAACGCATGGACATGGACAATGGGGTGGTGAGGGCCTAGGGGGTTGAGGGTGGGGCAAAAGTGGGCTGGAAGAGGTTATTGCAGTGGCTAGAAAGCAGAAAGAACTGAAGACCAACTCCTTCCTGATTTTCATTTTTCAAAATCTGAGCTCCTGCAAGGGATTCTGATAGAGGAAGAATGAGAATATGTGGGGTTTTTAAATAAGAGGGACCCTTACCCCCCTGCCTGGCAGTATCCTGGAGAAGACATAAGGCAAAGTTCTTGACCCTAGGGAGTTTGCAATCTGATATTGAGAGAAGGAGGAAACACTGCTAATTACAAAATGAAGCATGTGATGGGTATCATAAGTGACCCAGTCTTTCAGAGTGCTATGAGACTTTAGAAGTAGAAGGGAAATTTGTGGCTGATTTCAGCAAGCAGAGATGAAGAAATCAGGGAAGGGAATTGCATGAGCAAAGGTGAAAGAGTGAAAAACACTCATTCTCAAAACAGTGAACAGAATCTAACTGAACTTTTCTTTCGAGTAGAAGTGTCGGGAAATTGGGAGGCTCAGAGCCCAAATAAGCCGGCTCAGCAGTCACTTGCAGGTGAGATGAGCCCTGTGTGGGGACGCTTCTGCAAGCAAGTGCCAGGCGAACAATGAGGCACAAAGGAAAACAACGGTTCCTGGATTGTGAAACGGGTCTCTTTGAGAATGGTGGTGTCATGCAGGCAGGTCTAAGGGTGGAGGTTATCTAGAAGGAGCTGGTTGTGAGTGGGGATTTAAGGGGACTACACTAGAAATGTTTAGTAGAATCAAGTTAATTTCAGACTGGAAAAGAAGGCCTGCCATTTGAGAGGTTTGGGATCCAGCTATGGATTTTCAAATATTTTATTTATTAATCATTATTGTTGAAAGTACTCTGTAGGTCCTTCTTTTCTCCCCATTAACCGCTTCCAGCCCACTTTCACCCCACCCTCAACCCCCTAGGCCCTCACCACCCCATTGTCTGTGTCCATGTGCTATACTGAAGGAAGTGACCATGAAGCCAGAAATATCAAGGTGAGGAAAGAAAAAAAAAGAGAGAGAGAAGTAAAATGGGGCAACAAAAGAAGACAGAGAGGGGAGTGAAATATAACAAAAGGGAAGGAGGAGAGTTTGGCAAAGTATGGGCCAATGACATCCTTCAAATGACAGAGAGACCTCAGTAAGAAAGAGAACTGAGAAAGAGCTACTGGTTTTAACATCAAAGAGACCCCTTGTAAAGATGGGATGAGTTAGCTTGGGTAAAGTGGAAGGTCTAAGGAGAAGCAGGAGGTTAAATCAGTTGGCAGCCTCCTTCAGGTGGGAGGTGACCAAGAAACTGTGCTGCCCTCCTGGTACTGTCACATACATACCAATTCCCTCAATGAGGTGGCAGTTCTGAGGTTCCACTGGCTTCACTTCTCGATCTGCATTAATCCTCTCTCTGTGGAAGATAAAAACACAGGAGGTCAATGTGGGAGTTCCAAAATTGATGTCTACACATGGTTTTTAATTATCTTTATATTCATGAACTCTCTTGCATATAATGAGTAATATCACAAGTAAGTAGGCAACTCCTTTTATTTATATTTTTTTAAATAAATTTTTATTGTTCATATTATTACAAATGTTCCTTTCTCCCCCTCCCCTCCATTGCGCTCCTCCATCAGGTTCCCACCCCACCCTCTGCCCTTTCCCCGCCCCCCATTGTCCTCATCCATAGGTGCACAGTTTATGTTCAGTCTCTTCCCACATCCCCCTCTCCCCTTTTCCCCACGAATCATCAGTTCACTCCCCTTCCATACCTCTGATTCTATTATATTCAACAGTTAATATTGTTCATCAGATTTTTTTTTTTAATTTCCTTGGTTTTTAGATTCACTTGTTGATAGTTACGTATTTGTTGTTCATAATTTTTATCTTTATTTACTTTCTCTTCCGAAAAAAAAACCCCTTCAGCAATTCATATAATTCTGGTTTGGTGGTGATGAACTCCTTTAGCTTTTTTTTTTTTATTAGTGAAGCTCTTTATCTGGCCTTTGATTCTGAGTGATACCTTTGCTGGATAGATCATCTTTGGCTGTAGGTTCTTACTATTCATCACCTTAAATATTTCTTGCCATTCCCGTCTGGCCTGCATGGTTTCTGTTGAGAAATCAGCTGACAATCGTATAGGTGCTCCTTTATAGATAACTACCTGCTTTGCTCTTGCTGCTTTTAATATTCTCTCTTTGTTTTTTGCTCTTGGGATTTTAATTCTGATGTGTCTTGGTGTGGTCCTCTTTGGATTCCTTTTGTTTGGAGTTCTGTGCGCTTCCTGGACTTGTAAGTCTAATTCTTTCACCTGGTGGGGGAAATTTTCTGTCACTATTTCTTTCAGTATGTTTTCGATATCTTGCTCTCTCTCATCTTCTGGGACTCCCATAATTCTGATGTTGGTTCGCTTGAAGTTGTCCCAGAGGTTTCATACATTATCTTCAATTTTCTGGATTCTCTTGCCTTCTTGCTAATGCGGAGGAGTGTCTTCTGGCCCTTTATGTTCCAACTCTTTGACTTGATTCTTGCGGTCTTCCATTCTGTTTTTAGGACTCTGTATAATATTTTTTATTTCAGACAATGTATTCTTCATTTCTTGTTGATCCCTTATCATTTCTTGTTGATTCCTTATTAATTCTAATTGATCCCTTTTCATATCCTCATAGGTCTTATTGACCTTTTCTAGTTAATTCTTGAAAACTTTATAAGCGTAGATTTGAACTCTATATCCAGTCGCTTTTTGTCCTCAATTTCTTTTGTTTGTGATCTATTTTGTTGTCTTGACATTTTCGCAGCTTCCCTGATGGGGTGGAGTTTCAGAGTGGAGCCTACAGGCTTAGCTTCCATCAGCCCGGCCCTATGCGGTTCCTGAGTCTCAGTATTACCCAGGGTCCTTCAGTACTCATTGCAAGCACCTCTGAGAGAAAGGTGCCCTCGATTTTCGCCTGCTATCAAACAGTCTAGCCTCTCCCCCAATAAGCCCAGAACTGGGGTTCAGTTCAGTTGGAAGTGGAGTTGGAAGTGGCATTCAGAGCAGTCCGAAGCTTTTGTCTCCTTTCTGCCAGGGCAATCCCGCAGCACAGCCAATCGTCCCTTCTCTGCACGCAATGTGTGCGCCTCCGGGACCTCCTTTCGCTGCTCCCCCGGGGTTCCGTCTTACAGCCCAGCTCCCTCTGTTTGAGCCTGGGTCCTTAGGGTCTGGCCTAGAACTGGGGTTTGGAACTGGGGAGTCGGAACTGGGGTGCAGCACAGTTGGAGCTTTTATCTCCTTCCTACTAAGGAACGTCAGCCAGGCACTCAGCCTCCCTCCTCTCTGGCTCCGTCCTCTCCGCGCATGCCACGTGTCTCCATACCTTAGGCTCCTCCGCTCTTCCTTCTGCTTTTCTCCTTGCATCTCATTGTAGAATGTTCCAGTCAGTCTACTTTCCTGTAGTTCTGGGTAATGTCCATTTTATATTTTAGTTGTATTTTATTGAAATTGTTGTGTGCGTCTGCGGCTAGGTTTTACCTGTGCAGCCATCTTGGATTCTCTATTTATATTTCTTTACATAACATGGACAGTATGTGGGTAATATGCCTATGTCAGTTAACCTCACCCAATTATTGTTGAAAGACTAAAATGCAATTATACATGGACAACTTAATAGTATGCATAATTGCATAGTGTCATTAATGTAAATGTACAAGTTGTATTATTTAATTAGATAAAGCAGGGTCTATTATAAATCTGCACTTTGGCTGCCCTTAATTCACCATGTCTTTGCCTTTTAACCCACCTTCCTCTCTCAAACTGATTTCCCCACATTCAACCCTCCCCTAATTAACTAAACCCTGCAGCCTTTGCTTTAATGTCGTTATTTTAAATTTTTTTATGCTGACTTACTTTGCAACTTATCCAAATGACCAAAATCTAAACAACTGGCCATATTATTTTTCAATACAGTTTTCTTGTTTTTATAGTGAAACTTTCTTTTCAATACCAGGGATAAGTTTAAATTTTTACTAAACAGCATTCAGAAAGACTCTACACACAGACTTACCTTACTGTCACTTTTTAAAAAATACACCTCAGATCTACTTTACAGTAATACAGGAGTTTCTCGGTGCGCTGGGAGCAGTGTTACAATGAACATACTCAAGCTGAACTAGAAGGTATTACCAAAGGGCATCAGCCTCCTCAAGAGATCCCAGCTTCTACTTAGAGAAATAAATAAAAGCTCCCCGAAGACAACTGAAGACAAACAGAGCGTTCAGATCTGCTCAGAAATGTGTAGCATCACCCAACATTTCTTCTTCAGAGCCCAGTATTGACTCTTCCTGAGAGAGTTCTATCACCACTAGCATCTTCCACTTCAAAAGGTCAGATACCTGCGAAATGCCAGTGAACATCTGCAAATTTCAGCTCATCTCTCCCCCCTACACACACACACACACACACACACACACACACACACACACACACACACACACCTGTCTGAATAGCTCTTAATCTGGGATGATTCAGCAGCCCAGCCCTCCTCAATGTTTTAACAGGTCCTGGGCCATGTCTGCTACCAACTCCCACCTGGTAGCCTGTCTCTTCTCTCGAATCCAGCCCTTAGCGGAGTTTTTATTTCTTTTTATTTTTTTCCTGAATGTATTTTTATTGTTGGTAGTATTACAGATATTCCCCGCCTCCCCACTTCCTCTCAGCTCCTCCCCACCCCCTAGATCTTCACTACTCCAATGCCTAGAGCCACTTGGAAAGAGGGTGGTGACTTTCAGAAAATAAATGCGGGACACTCCTGACCTGCTATCTCAGGAAAAGCAAGAACTTGGCTCACTTTCCACATCCATTTGCTGGGTGGCAGTGAGGAGTGAGGTCACCCAAACTGTCCGTCCCTCCTGGCTCGGAAGCCTGCACCGGGCAGCCCTGACTTAGCTTGGAAGAGGAAAGACAGCCAAGGACTCAACTCACCTGAGCGCCACAAACCTCTCCCCGAGCAGGGCCAGGCCCAGCCCGAGCAGGGTCAGCACCACCAGCTTCCCCATAGTCCGGGTTCCCAGTGCCGATGGCCCAGCAGGGGCCTCCAGGAGGCGGGGCGGGCGGGCTCCCAGACCCGCCCCGTCCCGCCCCTCCCCGCCCGCCCTTCGCGCCCCACCTGGCAGGTGCAAGGCCGGGACGCAGGGTTGCGGGGCGGTGTCTCCAGCCACTCCCTGTTCCGCCTCCCCAGGTAAGGCCATTTTCCCTTGGGGGTGCGGGAATCCCAGGCTGTCTTTACGCAAGAGACTCAAGGTCATCCTTCCCCGTGAAGTTCAAGGAGAAATCTTGGCTAGAGGATTCTTCTTCTCTTTTTTTCTTTTCCTTTTGCTCCAGGGCGCGAAATACCAGGGATTCTTTTCTGTTTTTGTTTTGTTTTTTTTGTTTGTTTTTCTTCAAGGCTCAAAGTACGGAGGGAGCCGGAGCCGCAGGTGAAAGTCTGGTGGCGTTCCTTCTCTTGGCAGCTTTGCCAAGAACACGCCCCACGGTGGGTGTGGAGAGGGAGTTTGCTGCCAAAAGCTGCGTCATTCAAACTCAGCTCCTCCAAGGAACTGCAGGGAGCTCTGGGGGTGCGTCCAGAGCCCCGATGGCAGGTTTCTGGAAGGCTAGAAGGGAGCTGAGCTGGAGAATGGCTCTCAAGACGGTGGGAGAGCTGGTACATGCATAGAACAGCATGGAAGTGCGGGGCTTGAACGCACCCTAATCCAGGATTCCCAGAAAAAGGCCTCCGCAAGTCCTGCTTCCCAGGCCATTTGCTGAGTGGGTGGATTGTAACTATCAGAAACCCCACACCGCCACCATTGTTGATGGGACAATGAACAATAGGGAAGAGTTGGGAGGGGGGGGGGTTGGTGGAGAAAAGACTTAAGTTTTAACAGGAAGTTGAGCAGAGTGGGGGTGGGAGGGAGGAGAATAGCTTTGGGTGGAAGTTTAGTAACAAAAGCCTCCTTGATCCTTCTTCCTTCTGGGACTTCTGCTCCTGCCAGGTGAAGAATGCATGCCCCCCTCTCCTGAAGACCACCAGGCTGGAGAGAGAGTGGGGCTGAGGGTGGAGATGGCTGAGGAGTCTGAGCAAAGCAAAGTAGCATCTTCTGGCATTATCTGTTTTTATTTACAAACGGAGAGAAATACTAGTTCTAGTGAGTTCAGCTGAGTAAAAGTGTGTTGAGAGAACAGGATTCGTTCAACCTGGAACTGAAAGAAGTAGTGAGAGTACAGAATTTACCGGCCTGGAGATAGTAAGAAAGATAAAGGTGGCTAACCTATGGGGTAGATAGGAATGGGTTGGAGAGGGAAAATACTGGTGCAGAGGTGCTTACTTGGAAAACTTTGGATAAGGGCTAATAGAGGGCTCAGTGAGGGGCTGGCAGTGGAGATAGGAGAATAGCTTTGAGCCCTCAGTTGGAGATAGAATCAGGCCAAGCTTCTGATGAGTAAGGACAAAGACAGAATCAAGGATGACGTCAAGGATATTAATTTTGCAATACAGACAGCCCTTGAGTTACAATAGTTTGATTCACGATTGTTTGACTTTATGAAGGTATGAAAGTGATGCGCATTCAGTAGAAACTGTGCTTGGAATTGCCAATTTTGATCTTTTTCTGGCTAGTGCCACGCAGTAGCATAGTCTGTCCTAGGCTGGGCAGTGGCAGTGAGCTGCAGCTCCCTGTCCGCCACGCAACCACCAGGGTAAACAACTGCAATTCTACAGCAGCGATTTTCAACCAGTGCGCCACAATAATTTTTAAAACATGCAATACCTGACTATTTAGTCAGGGGCACTGACCTCTTTTCCCTTAGGTTGTCAAATAAAATAAACAACAGAAGCCAACACAATCGCTGTCTGATGGGAATGGATCAAAATTATACCCATTTTTGGTCAGATCAGCAAAAATAGATAATTTTCAGTGTGCTGATTTTTAATAATTAGTTTATGTGTGCCGTGAAATTTTTTTTTTAAAAGGTTGAAAATCACTGTTCTACAGTATACTGTGTTGACAGTGTATTTCGGATATTGTGTTCTGCACATGGTTAACATAAGCTAGGCTAGTGGTGGCAAACTCATTAGTCAACAGAGCCAACTATTAACAGAACAGTGATTGAATCTCCTTTGGAGAGCCAAATTTTTTAAACTTACACTTCTTCTAATGCCGCTTCTTCAAAATAGACTCGCCCAGGCCGTGGTATTTTGTGGAAGAGCCACACTCAAGGGGCCAAAGAGCCGCATGTGGCTCGCGAGCCGCAGTTTGCCGACCATGGGGCTAGGCTAAGCTATGATGTTCGATAGGTTATATTAAATGCTTTTTTATGGTATCTCCAACTTGCTTTCAAATAGCTCAGAAAAACAAAGCCCTCTATACTTGGAAAGACAGCAGTGCTGCAAGCTGATAGCTGGTGATTGGTAAATGTAGGTAAAGTGAATGCAGGCAGTCATGGAACTGGCTTTTCAATTTTTCCCCAGCTCTAAACTTTTCAAAAGTTGGGGGGAATTGGTATCTCCAAATTGTTCTCTAATCACATTTGCTTAGTTACTTCTAATCACTCAATCTAATAAATCTATTTTCTCATTTGTTGAATTTCCCATTAGAATATAGACAGTGTCTGGTTCACTATTGTATCCTAATGCCTAACTCAGGAATGGCTACAGAGAAGCTATTTAGTATACTAAAAATTTTTAAGTGAACTGAAAGTTATTTTTTGTTGTTAAAAACTAGACTCTTTTATCTTCTTCTCTGTATCTCTTATCTTTTATTTTTTTATAGAATAAAAATCTTGGAAACCAGGAGCAGAAAGCTAAGAGAGCTACTGGGATCCTCCCAACCATTCTCCTTCTCTCACCTATGGAAATTCTTTCATGGAAATCCACGTGAGTAATAAAAAGTACAAGTAGCCAAAGAAAGGTGTGGTGGGTGGTGTAGTGGTGGGTCCTATTAGTTCTTCACTGCTTTGCCAAGTACATATTCCCCAGCCTATGTAAGTTGTGACTCCAAGAAATAATTAAACTGAACAAATCAAACTCTAGAAAAAAGATCGGCCTTAGATTATTTATTATTAACCAGTTACATAAGCAATACACAAAATGAGACCAAAAATGCTGTAATATAGCTTATATTTTATTTTCTTTGTTCCCCATATGAGATATTCATGTTTACATTTAGCTGTTGTAGAAGAATGGAGGTAGTGTGAAAAAAACCAAAAGGATATTTATTGTCACTCAACCAGATCTCAGATTAAAAGAAATTAGCGCGCAGACACACACACACACACACACACACACACACACACACACACAGGCACAGGCATGTGCTCAAGACCTATGTCCACCTGGTGGTGGCATAGCCCAATTACAATTTCAGTCTTTTTGAATGACTTGATCTCTTAATAACCAACCAAATTGTGAAAACTCAATACATGATCACAGTAAGAGCACCATAAATAAACACACATGATAAAATAGAACCCTTCATGGCCCAGAGGCCAAAATTTATTTAAGAATTATTTTGTATTTCTAAGACAAGGAATACATGTGCTTATTAACTTATATTTACTTTTGTCCAAATAAAATTTTCAGTAAGTACAATATAAAAAATTTATTTTGTACCTACTATATTCTGGTACTTTTAACAAAAGTAGCTTTTTAGATAGTCATTGTTATAATCTAAAATTAAAATTTATGCTTCTTGGTTTTGGATCCCTAATGAATAGTATTTAATCTTGCTTTGTTCATCTATGACTTAACATTTTCCCATGGATAATGGAAACAGCAAAAAACAGTAATTCTTTTAGCAAAAAATAGTTCCAAGACACTTTAGTAACAGAGTACTTAAAAATTAAATAAAAACAGAGGCCAAATGAAGAGAGGCCAAGTTTAAGAAAACGTCTATAATTTACATGAAAAGGCCATTAAATGATGCATCTAAAAGCAGAAATCCAACTAATATATAAAGAAAATGAAAGAAACTATATATGAAAGAAAAGAGTAAACAATAAGATACTCGTTAGTTCTGTGGCGATAGCTTTCTATAAAGTGGGAGCTGGTCCAGCCTCTGGCATCAGAAACAGAGGACCAACCCTTCCTGGGTATGTGACTGAACATCTGTGAAACGTTAACAGTGATATAACATCAGTACCTACTCTCTCCGGGCTGTACTTGAAATATAGTGGCAACCATACTTTGGTAAAAACTGCTGTTTGAATTTTAACCCTTCTCGTTTGGCTCTTGCACCTGATTAAACAAGGGCGGGGGGGGGGGGGAGCTATTTATCTTAGCTTTCAGGTGGAGACTTGGAGGCTAAGGCAATTTTCCCTTGCCTAGGACCAGGAGCACAGGAGAGTAATTCCCACTAACTCAGTAACCTTCAGAGATAGAAACTGTAGATAACCTCTGAACTCTCCTTTTGTGTTATTGGCTATCGCAAGATAGGACCACATTCCAATGTCCAGCAGGATGGGACTAGCAATGACCCTGCTGGGCTGACCCCAGTCTTTAGAATGTAGTCTTTAGAATTTAGAACAAAAGAAAATTCCTGTGGTTTGAACCTTTAAAAGGGATTGCCTACCCCTGAAATGGTGCAGTCCTGTGGAGACTACCTGTGTGTGGTGCTCTCGTGTCTGTCCTGGCCAGATATTTCAATACATCTTTGCTTGCTTTTTAATTAATCATCAGCCTCTGGTGGTCTTATTTTGAACCCAGGGTTCGACCCCACAACAGTATTTAGGATTAAATGAGATAATGAATGGGCCATTTATAGTGCATTGTTTGGCACTTGGCAAGTAACAAATATTTTGATGATAATGATGCTGAAGACAGGGAAAACCATGAGAAGTGAAATAAAGTGCTTTTTGGTACGCTACAATGGAAAGTCTCTCTCAAGAGCTTACCATGGGTTTGTAGGAAGTACAGTGAGTGGAAAGAATCTCTGCCATGAGGCACGCACCCTTGGCCTGGAGCCTAGGCCCTGGACAGCTGACTTCAATCTCTCCTGATGAAGTTCACGGTTGAGTTCAATGAGGAGGTTGCTTGCTTGGCCTTCCAGCCCCAACATTGATCTCTTCTTTGTAGGTAAAGTAGGAAGAGAGCTGATGGAACACTCTTTACTGATGGAGAATTTGAGTTGCCCTATTTAGTTGATTGTTTTATTTTATGCAAATAAAGAGCTCCTTGACATTCAGCTTTCAATGAGAAAGGAGAGAAATCAACATTGCCAAACACTGCCATGCCTGCTTGTTCCAAAGAAACTCCATGAGGAAACAGCCACTTTCCCATAGTCCCCGAGGACCTGCCTTGAGAATGAAACACAGACCCAATGATGATAGGATTTTAGTTAATCTTTAATACAACTCTAACTCTTTAATAGTAAACAAAGATGTAAATACAAAACTTCCATACATGCTACCTATCAGTAGTTCCGAACGGTCACAGTGGTCACACTGTTAGAGCAGAGGTTACTCACATTTTAAGGAAATGAGATCTACCCTGGTTCAGTGGAATTCGTGCTCTGGCAGGTGGAAGGAGGAGGGGAGGCTTATTTTGTGCAAAGTATATTCACTTTACCGAGAGCAGCTTTCTTCTCTCTCCTTTACTTGGCATTAAAAAAAACACACACAAAACAAACCTGTTCATTTTCCTTTATGTTAAAAGTGCAACAAGGACTGAAGGGGCCTTTCCTTCCTGAAATAAAATTAACTATACACGTCATACATCCTGGCTCAACTTTACTAGTTACATTCCCTCAGCACGAGCCATTCATAGAAAACGAATTGTTAAGAGAAGTGAGCACACTGGCATACCCAAAGTCCACATTAGAGCTCACAATACAGGGCTCTGTGGTACAAAGTGCCTATGAGCAGCTTCCTATCGTATACAGAGGCCACAGAACTTCCCTGGAGAACAGACCCGTTGTTGGCATAAACGATGGTCACTGTAGGCTTCTCCGCGAGAATATTCTGGATGCGGAGAACCTATTCAAGGGAGACAAAGGATTACTATAGAACCACCATACATCCACATCTCTCCATCACCAATGATCCCTGTCTCCCACAATGAAACAATGATTAAGAGGACATGCTGTTGAAAAACAGCAGTTACCAACCTTTTATAATGCTTAAATTAAAGTACTTTCTTAAACCTTCAAGGAAAGTACTTTCTTAAACTATCTAGTTATTTCCTGCCAACACAGGATTTAATGTTATTATAGTAATTGAGCATTAAATAGGAATACTTCCACACTAGTGTGCCTACTTTGACACAACTTTAGCTCCAACAAAAGCCATGTCATGTGGTGAGCTGACAAAAAGCCAGGTATTTAAAAATTGCCAGGATACCACATAGGGGGCCCACATGTCTTTATATAAATGCCTTTTGACTAGCTGCCACCATAATTTCATACATCAAAAGACTACCTTTCTAAAAGTATTTGAACAATGTGAAAGTCTGCCAATTATTGGCTTAAAGCAATTACAAAACCACTACATTAGTTTACTGTATTATTGGTTGAAAAGGACTACATAAACCATCCCCATGACAGTTTATTGTACTAGTAGTTCAAAAAGACTTGAATAATTAAGGTTGAAAAATGAAAACTTAAAAACCTGTGAGGAAGGAGGATTGTTCGGATCATAAATGAACAGCTTCTGGCCGTTAGGATGACAGCCTACCAAGATGTCCCCCGAAGAAGGATCAACAGATAAATTATCCACCAGGGTATCCAACTTGAGTACCTTCCAAATTAAAAATGTCAATAGTTAAATGACGTGGGAAACGTGATTAAATAATTTAAGGCTAACCTTTCCTGGCTGGGAAAGAGGGGATTACACACACCTCCCTGCTGCCAGCCTCTTAACAACAATATTGGTTCAAAAAATTTAATCAACTGGTTTAGAGTCACTTTTCATCTCCCCTGAAATTAAGGAAGTTAGGCTAATAACCAACCTTTAAAAAAATGAACCCCTTAAAAGGTGCATAATGATCAGTGAGTTCAAAGAACTCATTCAAAGCAAAATAGGAAATCCTTAACCAATCTAAAATAGGTGTTGTTAAGTAGGAAGAACATAATAATGGTGTGGTACCCAATTTCTACCTTCATTTATTATTGAAAGGAATGACAGCATGCATAAATCTTCATTTCAGAATTCATCTATTAGTCTTTTCAATTGAGAACATTCTTATTGGAATGCATCCGGTGACATATCACTCCCAGCCCACCGCTACATGTAATGCCAGTCAGTTCTCATGACTGCTGGAACAGAAGACTTGGCCGGTTATATCACGGGGATATTTAAAAACCCAAAATAGCAACACTGGCATCCATAGTCTGTTCTACGTGGAGGTATTGCAAAAGCATAATTTCACTATGCAGTTTCAAAGTATATTAGATTTATGTTGACTTTATATATATGAAAAGAAATAGTTTACCTTCACTTGTGTTAAATTCATATTATGCTGTTTTTCCAAAACATGAATTTCATGAGCCAATATATCAGCTACATAGATGTACCTTTGCACAAAGGACACACTGGTTAGGTTCCATGACAACATAAAGATTCATTAATACACTATGCAAGAATGAGTCTTAATAACCTGCCAAGAAGTTAATCAATGATGGGCCCTCAAGCAATGCTTGATAAAGGTCAATTTTTATTTAAAAAGCAAGCTTTCAAGATCAATTCTGTGTTGCTACACCAATCACGGAATTGTTCAATTATTTTTCAAAAGGTTTCTAAGGAAAAGTTAATATAGGACGTTATTGTGAATATAAAGTCTGTGATATTTGCCACTGAAAGGACAATAAAATAGATGTTTGGCCTCAGAAAATAAAGGTTTTATATCCACAATATAATTTGATACTTCTAGATGTCATTTACATGTTATGGTACAGAGCAGAACACTAGAATGTGTATTAGCGTACTTAATAGCATATTTATTTACCTATTGAGAATTTTAAGCGTAAAAGCTAAGAATGTATTCAGAACAGTCTGTCTGAAGGGTGGATTAATGGACTACTTTATGGTAATTTCACTCACTGAATTGACCGTTCCATGGCAACTGTTCTATTGAGCAGTTATCCCGTGTAAAGCCATGAACTCAGTATTGTGACAGATAGAAACATAAAAAAGACAGCCTTTTTCCTGAAAAGTTTATAGTATATTGGAACAATCAGACTGGCTTATACACATTAAACAAATAATGCAGCATGACGGCTACCGTAAGAAATGCTTCCAGTCTAGAGGCTGAAGAAATATCATAACTTTTGAGAACACAGAAGGGCTCGCAAAGGAAGGGGGATCTGCAGGGATATGGAACTAGAGGCTGGAGTTGAGGCTATGAGGATAAAACACCTTCAAGACAGGAGAAAACATGTGAGCAGAGGCACGGGGGCAAGAATGAGAAAGGCATATTTGCTAAATAATGAGTTCTTTGTCTAAGCATGGACTGTACCAAAAACAGTCGAAAGGGGAGGCCTGAGTTAGCCTGTCAAAGAAATTCCATCCTTTAGCCTGCCTTGATTTAGCAATTGGGTTCCACTGAATTTTTAGAATAACAATGAGGCACGATAACAAATGGTCATTTCCATCCAACAATTACTGGGCATTTGCTTTGCACCTGGCAGTGCTGAGCATGAGTCAAAGATGAAGCAGACAGAGCTCCCTCTTTTGGAGGCCCTTAAAGGCTAGAGAAATATAGAGAGAAAAATTGGCAATGGTGGCAGAGAATGGAAGCAGACTGGAAACAAGTTGGAAGGATGTCTAACACTCCAGCAGAGAGGATGAGAAACTAAGATGTCAGAGGAAAGGAAAGAGGGTGAGAGTAGGGGACAGACACAAAGGTAGAACCAACACAACCTGCTCACTGTTTAGCAAGGAATGGTGCAAGAGGAGGAGTTAAAGCGAAAGCCCCTTTTATTATTATTTTTTAGCTTGAATGATTGCAAGGTTTGACTCTCAGAAAGATGAGAGTTGGAAAGAAAAACAGATTTGGCTGGACAGGTTGCACTGGGTCAGTTATAGACAATTTAAATTAAATGATTAGACTTTTATTTTCTGTAGTCAACAAGAAAGAAGAAATTGTGTCATGAAAATAAAAACATTTAGTTGTCAAGGACTAAAATTTTTTTTTTCATATTTGTAGTAGTTTAAATTGTTCAGAGGGTTAAGGCAATACAAGGGAAAGTTAATAAAGACTATAAGACTATATCATCCTGCCATGGCTGGTTTGGTTCAGTAGATAGAGCATCAGCCTGTGGACTGAAGGGTCCTGGGTTCAATTCCAGTCAAGGGCACATGCCTGGTTTGTGGGCTTAATCCCCAGTGGGAGGTGTGCACGAGGCAGCCAATCAATGATTCTCTCTCATCCTTGATGCTTCTATCTCTCTCTCTCCCTTCCTCTCTGAAATCAATAAAAAAAAAAAAAAAAAATATATATATATATATATATATATATATATATATATATATTTTTTTTTTTTTTTAAATATATCATCCACCGAAATCGGTTTGGCTCAGTGGATAGAGCATCGGCCTGCAGACTGAAGGGTCCCAGGTTTGATTCTGATCAAGGGCATGTACCTTGGTTGCGGGCACATCCCAGGTGGGGGGTGTGCAGGAGGCAGCTGGTTGATGTTTCTCTCTTATTGACATTTCTAGCTCTCTATCCCTCTCCCTTCCTCTCTGTGGAAAAACAGTAAAATATATTTAAAAAAAGAAAAAAAAATGTATCATCCTTTCTATAAGCTGTGGTTTATAGAAACATATAAAAATAGTAAAATACTTATGGAAGGCAAGTTGACAGTATCTATTAAAGTTGTTTGAGAGGCTCACTCTTAGAGCAAACAGGTCTATTTTAAGGGTCTGTCTGTGCACATGTGTAAGAGGAGGGGCTCGTTAGCACCACATTTAGCCATTGCCCATCTGGTATTTGAACCAGGGTCTGTGTGACTCCCAGATCTGAAGATTTAACCATTATACTCTACAGCTACCCTGGGAAATGTTTCCTTTTAAAATATTTGAATAAATTTAAGGGGTAAATGAAAAATATAAGATGGCATTTATACAGAAAAAAATTAACAACCTACATATCCATCAACAGAGAATGGGTTAAATTACTTTAGTAATATACAGCCAATAGAACAATGAGATATTCACTTAAAAGGAACCACCTACCTGATACTTTGATATGTATATATAATATATGATCCCATCTTATTAAAAATTACATTTATAAAACTAGATTCTATAATGATATAGACCAAAATTTAGATATTGTATATAAACATATAAAATATAAATACTAGAGGCCCCATGCATGAAATTTGTGCACTCGGGGTGGGGAGTGGGCTCAGCCCGGCCTGCGCCCTCTCGCAGTCCAAAAGCCCTTGGGGATGTCCAGCTGATATCCTTAGTGCTACCATGGAGGCAGGAGAGGCTTCTGCCACAGCCACAGTGCTTGTCAGTTCTGAGCCCTGCTCAGGGCTTCTGGCTGAGTGGTGCTCCCCCTGTGGAAGCACACTGACCACTAGGGGGCAGTTCCTGCATTGAGTGTCTGCCCCCTGGTGGTCAGTGTGCCTCATAGCGACCAGTGGTTATGCTGTTCAGTTGATTTGCATATTAGCCTTCTACTATATCGGATAGTACATATAATTTCATAATTAATATAATAGATATACATATTTAATTGTGTATCACATAATACATATAAATATCATATATAATAAATATGTAATGATTATAATGTTATGTTAATAATATAAAATACATATAATATTTATTTAAAATAGCTTCAGTAAGCTATTTCCACACTGCAGAAAAAACAAAGCAAAGAATTTGGCCCATGACCATGACTGAGAAGCAATAAAATGACTTTTATAAGGGATCATACTTTTTATCAGGTGAAATGTTGATTCCATTAGGTGAGTCAAATCCTTCTGCTACCACTTTAACTTCATTTGGACTATAGTAAACAACATTTGTCCAGTGTAAGTTCAAGTATGTTTCCAAATACTTTAAGAAAGGATCAGAGAAATAGTGGTCATTGGTGGCATAGAAATGTGCAGGTCCAACAGCTATGATATCATTCACACTGAAAGAGAAGAATAACATGTGAGAGGACATAAAAAGCCAGTTGGTCTCCACGTTAAAAATTAGGACTCCAGAAGGTTTACACAATACATGCTTTAAATTTTTGGTAAGAGGTTTCCCAAGAAAAGCTCAGCTAAAATCACATGGCTAAAAAAATAAAATAAAATAAAATAAAATAAAATAAAATAAAATCACATGGCTATTGTCATATACAATCCACTATAAAATCATTTGCCAAAGAACAATTTTGTATGGTAACAGGTCATTGGAAGACATGTCATTTAACAATTAAGGCAGGAATATTATAAAAGATAAAAGGTCTTGGTGCCAACAGTATGTTTTTTTTAAATATCTTTATTGACTTCAGAGAGGAAGGGAGAGAGAGAGATAGAAACGTCAATGATGAGAGAGAATCATTGATCGGTTGTCGCCTACATGCCCCACACTGGGGTTTGAGCCTGCAACTCGGGCATATGCCCTGACCAGGAATTGAGCCCTGACCTCTTGGTTCACCAATGAGCCATGCCGCTGGGCAACAGAATTGTTTTTTGATAGCAAGAAATGTAGGGAACCAGCTATCTTTTATAGAGCTGGATGAGGAGCCTCCTTGGCTGGTGAGCTGGTTGGGAAGCCAATAACATTTGCCTCGCTTCCATTTACTAAGTTGCTGGATTTTCCCAAGTTTCTCTGCTTAGTAATTAGTCAAACTCAAGTTGACTGTTCAATTTTTACCTAACTCACAGAGCCAACCAGCCGAGAATGAACTGGCACTCCATAAACACTTGCAGAGAGATGGATGAAGAAATTGCCATAATACCGTGCTTCAGGTGAGAGATTTATATGCTAAAAACAATTACATTTTTAAAACCAGTTAGGCAAGAGTGTTATTAAATTTAAATTCCAATTACCCGATGCAAAATTGTCTGAAAGAGCTGCTTCCTCCTTTGTTAAATAAAAATGGAGCTACAGGGTCGGTGAGTTCCCTCATTCTGAAAGAGCTCTGTCATGCAGAGGCTCCCAGGGTGGTATTTATGTTCCTATTTATTATGAATCATTCCGGAAGAATGATTGGAAGTTACATGCTTCCCTAGTTAGGGAAGTAGAAATTAAAAATATCCATCAAGTTCAAACTTTAAAGAAGCAGTAGGCTAATGCAAACTGAGCTGGAGAGGAACACAATTCTCTCTCAGTCCCATTGTCAACCAGTTGTGTGCTCTTGAAGTAGTAGCAACCCACTTCCAACCCGAATCTCCAGTTCTGTACAGTCATTAGCCCACAGCTACCACTAACCCTGTGAAAGCTTTTTGTGTTAGTCCCAAACAAAACATGCAAACTCCATATAAAGCAGGCTACCATTCCTTGACAGGCCAGGTATCGTTAGTTGGGTGCTGAGTCATCTGAGATGGAAGGTGAAAGCAGGAGAAATGGTGAGGTTTGTCTAATACTCCCATGATGGCCCTGAAGAACATCTCCCCTGTACCAAGCATTTCATCATTTCTCAAGAGAGTCCACATTGAACACTGATTACCATAAAGAGGGATATTGACTTTCCCTGCTCTACAAAGACACACACACACACACACACACACACACACACACACGTGAGAGGACCACCGTGATGGGTATCTGAAAATGTTGGAGATAGCTTGGAGAATGAACAAAAAGACTAAGTACCTTGGCAGAAGCTCATGCCTGACTGTTTTCAGATGCAAAAGAGAATTATCTTCTTCTTGAAATTTAAAAATTTCCACCGTATTCTTGAATTCTGGGTGGTTTACCACAAAGAGATAAACCGTGTCATCTGAAAAAAAATTGAAAGAACAGAGTTAATTTACAAGACAGCCATGGTACCTTCAGGCAGACCCTGACATTTAAATACCAGGCAAGGAAAGGTTAAATGTCTAAGCTGTTAGATGACCTAACAGATCATTCTTCTTCCCTGTCTTTCTCATCACTGTTTGTCTGGTGTTATTTCTGATCATTGGTCCCCTGACCTTTAAGAAAGAGTGTTTCTCACTCCACACACAGAATTCATGAATAATCTGTTTATAGTTTAATTCAGAAATATAGCTATTTTTTAATGCAAGGATCATAGGTATGTAAAAAGGTCATGAAATCTAAGCTTTCTTTAAGGCGCTGCTAAAAATTTCAAAACGCGGCATAACTTAACAGTTAGTGGCAGAGGCAAGCCAACTTATTTGTATGAAGAATTCAGGAATAATTCATGAGTTAATTGTTCTCTTACTTCAGACATGATCCAGAATCTATTTTCAACAGTCATTTACAAACCATTATAAGTTTCTTAATGTTGGGAGCTCATCAGCTCTTACCGCTGTCTATGAAAGTGCTGATACCATGTGGATTAAATGAAGCCAAATTAAACCCACGGCTAATTCTTAATTCCAATGCCCTGGGGTTTTCGTCTTTTAGATCCATCATTAGTATTCCTCCAGGCTTGTCTGGTGCAAAGCTGTGAAGTCCTGGATATTTTAGACCCTTTTCAAAAGAGAGAGAAAGGTTAAGTATAAAGGCTTAAGTATTTTTATGGACTAAAGTGGGAACTATAAATAAAAGATAAATAGAGGCTTTGGTTAAAAGGTGATGGCATAAAGCTACAAACACAAAGAAAGCAGAGGGGAGACAATAGAAAAAAATAATAATTGGGAGCTGAAAAGATGAAAGATGCACAATAACTGATTTTCCTGAGTAAGGGTGTAGTCTCTTCAGCGGGCAGCCAGAAGGTTTGTGGACTAGGAGACACCCGGTGGAGTTGAAGGTGGGAAAGTTTACATACTGGCTGTGGACCCTCGAGCCCACAGCCTGCACTTTGCTTCTATGAAGCCGGAAGACTCGGTGAATGGAGTCAGTCCAGACTCCCCTCTTTGTCTCACATCCTGTTGACTCTCCTTGAGAGTATGTCCCTTCCTAAGGATGTGAACATCTTTCACCACTTCCTCCATGACTGCCCCTATCCACACCACTACCATAATTACGCAGTAGCCTCCTAACTGGCCTTTCTGCTTCTGTCTTTAACTCTCTGCAGAAATCTAGTCTTACATTGATATCAAAAATTTGTCAGATGATGTCACACATTGGATCAAAAACTCCCATCTTACTCAGATTAAAAGCAAAAATTCCTAGGATAGCCTAAAGGTCCTGGTCACCTCCTTTACTGTACCCCACCCCAAACATCCATCTCTGCCCCTTCACCCCCTACCCTGTCCTCACTCATGTTGCCTTGGCCATTGATGCTCTTCAAACAAACCAAGCACATTTTCTCCTCAGGGCCTTTATACACCCTACCCGCTTTGCCTTGGAATCCCCTTCCCTCCCCCCCCCCCCCAAAAAAAAAAACACACACCATGATTTAGGATTCCTTCCCTCAATTTCTTATATCTACACCAAATGTCACTTAGTGCTATTTGACAATACTCATATATATACAAATATAAATTGCAGCCTGACGCTACCCTCACCTTAGCTGCCGCTCTCCAATGCCTCACCTTAGTTTATATGTTGCTCAAATGCTGCCACTCTCTGACATGTATTTGTTCTCCCCCCACTGGAACATGAGTCAGAACTTTGTCTCATTTGTTCACTATAGAACCCGGGAACTGGGTCAGTGTGTGGCACCCAGTCTGTCCTTTTCCCACTGATTCCGAATGTCACCTTTATCATGCACTACATTCCTGTTTACATACTGGTCAGTTTGGGGACTCGTGCATCTTCACATGAATTGCTATATTATTATTAATTATTATAGCTTTATTTATAAGATATGAGATATAGATAGATATGGAAATATTGCACACCCATCGCTTGATCTTTACACAATAGTCTTAATTAGTTCTGCTCATTTATTTTTCTGTATAAGTTTTGGAGAATTTGGTGTGCTGAATAAGACATCATCATCATCATCATCATTATTATTCCATTTTCTATTTGGTTTTCTTAGTGCATGAGAAAGCCATTTAGTTTTATATGTTCATTTTTAATCCAACCATTAGAGAATTTAAAAACCAGATACCCACACTATCTGAAAATAATAGCAGTTTTGTCTGTTTTTTACTTCATATTTCTTTTTCTTGGGTTATGAAGAACTCTAGTAAGATTGATAGTGGTTATAGTGTTAGGAGGGAGCATTTTCTTCCTTCTCTAAACATTAATGGGAAAGTAGCTAATATTTAATCACTAAGAACTATGTTTGCTATAGGTTTCTGTAAAATTATCTTCTATTTCTAGTTTTCATGGACCTTTTAATCAGGTTGAATTTTATCAAATACTTTTCTGGCATTCACTGAAATAATCAAGGTCTTTCCTCTTTTAAAAGTTTTCAGTCATATTCTGTGCAAATTTAAGAGTACTAAAAGAAGTCTCATTCTATGCACAAAATTGGACATAAAAGAAATTCTCTCCAATTAAAAAGAAATCTATCAAAATGACACAACTTCACGGCTGGCAGGACCAACAAGTAGAATAAACTGGAACTTCGCTATTGCGATCTGGCAACACCACTTCTGTGGTTAATAATCTCTATTTTTATCAATATCCCATAAATAGCAGGGTTTCCACACACACAGGGGATGGTGATGACTATTCCCGGTTATTTTAATTCTCCCTAACATTTAAATCTGTTTTTCCTCTTCTTAAAAAATTATTTTATTTTTACTCACAGTAAAAAACACACAAACATACCACTTTCACCATACCAGGTGCACCATTCAGTAGGGTTAAGAGTAGCCATACTGCCATTTAAATCATTTTTTACGGTCGACTCTATGTCATCCAACTCCTCATTAAGTGTGATGTTAATTTTGAGGTGACCCTCAAATCCATTACCGATGAACAGAATGTGTTGATTGAACTAAATTGCTTGGAAGAAGAACAAACAACTGACATGATGTGAAAGTTAGTCATGTGGAAAGGAGCACGTTCTGAGAAATATTAGAAACAATGCTGAGTAAATGAAAGAAACAAAGTGGGCTCGTTTCTAAATTTGAAAAAAAGAATAGAAAAGCAAGTTATATAACCAAGGAAGGATATACACACACAAAACCAAACACAAAACAAAACAAAAACACACCAGAGGCAATTCTATGGTAGACAGTTATAAGATCACTGTGGCTACCACAAGCCCCTCTGCGGAAACTGCTCTCGATTTATGTATTAGGAGACTTCACTCCTCCAAATTCAGATTTATCCCTGTGGGGAGAAAATCTTGAAATGGGGGTGTTCTGGATTACACAAATCTCTGACAACACCTCCTTTTCAAAAAATTAAAAAAAGCAACTGCCTTCTACTTTACTCAGGATTTTTGCATCTCTAGGTATGTATAATTTTAACTATTAGTCCTACTATTTTTTTTTCCCTAAGCCAACAGACATATGTGCAAACAGACCCAGAGTCCTACAAGAAGTATCATTTTACTAATTCTGTGTAGGATATTACATAAACTTTTTTTTACAACTGTATTTTAAAAATGTAATATCAACAGTGGTGTTTCTGCCAAAGCCCACGGCAGTTCCCTTTTCCCTCAGTGCTAACAGCCAGCCACTCACTGTCTTTCATATAAAAACCACCAGGAGCCTGGCGAGCGGTCTCGCCTGATTCTCATCTAAGCTGAGTTCTCTCACCTTCCTCCTAAGTCTGACAACTGTTTTATTAGTGTTGTGACTCTCTTCTAAAGCATCTTCAACTTTTTCACATCCCCCAGAATCTCAGAGCCTGAGAATAAGGGATACTGAGAGGGAAAAGAGTAATGACAGGCTGCCTTCAAACCGGAGCCTGCTTCCTCAAGCAAAACCGAACCCACGAAGATGCCCACCCAGCATCCTCACTTGGGCCCTGGCCAGGGAAGAAAGGCAGTCAGAACGTCCCTTCAGCCCACGTACACAGTTTTCCAGTTGCCCTGTACACTGATGCAGGCCAGCATTCCACAGGCCAATCACCCTGGAGGTCTTTCTAATGTATGTCTGCAGAGGTTATTGGTTTTCAGCATATAAGCATGGAGGAACAGTGAAGGGATGGAATAAACTCAGTGAATGACTTTCTATTTATGATAGGCTATTCAGCGGGAAAAGAAGAGAAAGGAAAACATTGGCCTTGTCTGGGAAAGTTGTATATTGTCTGAAAATAAATACATAAATACATAAATAACAGCAAGAATATTAGTTCAAAATTGAATATCAAATGGGGAAAAAAAGGTAGATGCTGTATTTGAAACAATATAATGTAGTCTCGAATATTCGCAATAATGCCCCAAATAATCTTTTTCACAACAAACTTTTAAGACACAGATTGCCATGGAATATTTAGTGCAATGGGATATTTAGTGCAATGCAGCGGGGATATAAAGAACAATAAATCAACTACTAAAAAATTTTTCATCTCTGAATTCAAATAAGTTTGAGGTAGTTTTTAAAAATCCTATTTGACCTGTGTTGTTTTTTTCCATCCTCAAAACATGTTTTTAAAAGTGAGGAATTTAAAGCATAAGATACTGCTCTGCTGGCCTCATCAAACCCCCCTGCACCTCCTCCTCTTAGATTGGGGCAAAAGAAGGTACTCACCACACTAAGGAAAGCCAGGCCATTGGGAAGGATGTCAATATCTTCAGCGCCAGCTTCTGCAGGTTCAAGAAATACATAAATGTCACGTTCAAATTCTGTTATTTGTTAAGCAGAGCATAACTAGGACTTTATTTACTCTACCAGTGTCCATCTTTAGGAATGGTTCTGATTTTTTTCCAAGGAACTACCCTCTTCAATAAACGTCAGTCTAAATCTCTGCATGCAGTGAACTTCTGACTTTAAATGTTAGATATTTTATGTTTACTCCCATCAAAGTCAAGTAATCACCACATTTCCAATGATAATACAGAAAAAGTTGACATCTGCACACGCTGCCGATAAAATCCAGATGTCTGCACAAAAGTAATTGACATCAGGGGAATATTACTTTCAAAATGAAGGGCTCCTGGCCATTTAACCATGCAAATAGCCTTGTCCCTTTCTCTGCTCATTCAATCTGAAGCAATCACAGACATCTCCCTCATTAACGGAGATAAAACACCTGGGATTACATAGTCCCTCTTTAAAAAACAATGTCTGCTTGTTCTCATGAGCAAAGAAAGCTTTCTGTTTAATCTTTAAATTTAGGCTTTAAATTACAGGGGGGGGGGAAACTAACAGAAGAAAATTAATGAAAAATACCAGGCATCTAAGCCAGTTGAAGCTTCTAACGCTTGTCTCTGAGGCAGACTACAATTACTATTGATTGTTTATCGATTGTCTGCAGTACACTCCACACAGCACAGCAAATAATTAGACATAAAGGCCTTCCCAGCAGTCTCACTGTGTAAATTCCACAGACAGATAATAGACCCAAACACAAAAAAAGAGGAATAAAAATGGCTTAGATTAAGCCAAATCATGACATATTCTTTGAGTCCACAAAATCCAATCTTCCCTTTCAAGAACTTTCCATAGGATTCCACCAAGATTATTGTCTAGGTTGTCAAAAACAAAAAAACAAAAAACACAAGAAGAAGAAAAAAAAACAACAAGCAAACAAAAAAGACCAGCATCTACCTGGTCATTTTCGTTTTGATTCATGAGTTTGCATTTGGCTGGTTGTTTCCAGTGTTGCTGGCTCTAATATAGCAGAGAAAAGGAAAAAAAGGAAAAAAAGAAAAATGCCAAGAACTTCACTTTGTAAAGATCATCTGCCTGTTCCTTAGAAAGGAGATTTAGAGAAAGAACTTTTAACCTGGGGTCTGTGGATCCCTAAGGAGTCAAAATGGGTTGTAAAGAGTCTATGAATCTCTTGAAATTCTAGACAGTGTAAAATGTTTTCTGTATGTGCAGATGTTTCTGTGAAAAGGGTTTTGGGCCTTTAGCAGATTCAAAAAGGGTTTGAGATACTCAAAAAATTTAAGAACCACTAGGCTCTAGTCCCATGGTGGGTCTCAACTAATAGCGAGTAGGGACCAAAGGAATCTATAGTACATATACGTGCTGTCCCAAAAATGTATGCACACTTTAACAGCTCTTTAGCTCAATTTTGGAAATGAATTATGTTTTAATAAATGCTTTCTTTATAATTATTCAAATTGTGTGTATATACATTTTTTGGGACACCCTACACACACACACACACACACACACACACACACACACACACACACAATTCTAGTTCAAGTTTTGCTTTCTGGATCCATTTAGTAGGAGCTCAATTAAAAGTTGTAGTTCCTATAAATTATTTAAGATCATTATATTTCAATGTATACATCCTTACACACAGAAAAAAAATACATAGAAAAAATCAACAATGTTTCTTTGGATATTAGGATTATGAGTGATTTTCATTTTCTTCCTTATACTTTTCTTTAATTAAAATTTTCTACAAAATTAGTATTGTTTAAATAATCAAGAAAGAAGAATGTTTTAAAAATATATTTTCATCTCAACTGTATTGTAACTTCTTTATGTTGAATCCCACGACCTAATTCAAAGAGGACGGGAGGGCAGAAATGTCTTGACTTGTAGCTTTCTTTAGAATGTTTTCCAGATCTACTCCCTCATCTTCATTTCTACTGCCATTATTATAGTAGGTGTTTATCACCTCTTCTCACCTCTGTCACCTCTTAGGTGCAATTACTGAAAGATAGTCAATGCTGGAGAAATTTTTTCTCCAACAATAATCAGAGTAAAGTAATGGGAGTAGCTATTTACAAATATTGTTTACCAAGTATCAGGATCCCTTTAAGTACTTTATATACATCTTTTCATATAACTTTTACAACCCTAGAAAGCAATAATCATTATCTCTTATTTTGGGATACAAACTATGGAGACTTTGAAAGGTTAAGCAAATTATTCAAGATCACGGACTGGAAAGCTGGGACTTAAATCCTTTTGTTCTGACTTAAAAAGCACATTGGGGGAGAAATACAACCTCACATTTAATGAATTTTCTGTCAGAACCATCCCCTGGTTCCTCTTTACAGACACTTCACTTTGTAAATTCAACTGCGGTCAATTCCATATGTTGGCTTTTGCTCAAAAATGCTTGCTTCCATGCCTCTCACCAAGATCTTTACCAGCTCATATCCTGTTCTTTTCTTTCAAACTTTTCAAAACTCTTTTTTCTCTAGACAGTCTTCTGGCTTAGCACATCTGATTTTGATCCCTTCTTGATGGCCACCTGCTCCCCAGTATCCATATTCCCCCTTTTTGGCTACAGGCACATGGCAACAGAGCTTTGGATATTTCCTGCTCTTTCCTGCTGGTCATTTGTCTACGTTTAGATTAATGGGATCTGATAGTACAAGATGTATGCAACTACCAGGTAAAATAAAGTAAAACTAACATCCATGTAAAGTTTTATTCTTCCTCTTTCTGATGGGAAATGGCAACTAACCAGAGTTCTAGTCTTGGACCAAGAAAGAAACGATAAGTAAACAGCAGTTGTGTTGCTTCACCAGCCTTTGTCCCAGGATGACCAAGCCATGTAATCTAATCACTAAGCCATTTGCTTATCTTTGGACTATCATGTAAGAGGAAATAAGTTTCTCTCTTCTCTATGATCCTTATTATAACTTTAGGAAAGCAAATCAGCCCTTGTCATACCCAATAGAGTATCCAATATGTAATACAGCCTATTTTTTCTACTTTTAGTTTATCACTTAGGCATGTGTATGAATCACTAGGAGAGAGCGATACTAGAAAGAGAATTTGCAAAGGTTATTCCATCTCTCTGAGCCTTGGGTCTTTATCTGTTATAAAAAGAAAAGAAAAGTCTATATCTCTTAGTAATGGGTTTTTGTTGTTTTCCTATTCATAGGCATACATAAAGTACTTAATGACAAAGGCTACAAATTTTAATGCTGTTTTTAAATCTCTCAAGTAGCAGTTGTTGTAAAGGTCTTGATTGCCAAGTATATAAAACTGTTACATCACTTGAGAGAGACAATATATTCAAAATTTTGTTTTAGTCCATGACTCTGAACGCCAGCATTAAAAAAAAAAAATTAGAAAATTTTGCAAACTTTCAAGCCTCAGAGTTAACTAGTTCTTATTGTTATTATTTTTATTATTTAGATACTGATAGTATGCCAAATCTTGGTTGGGTAAAATTTTAGTTTATTTCTTTAAGATATACTGGGAAGAAAAAAAAATGGAACAATGTACTCATTCTCTGTTCCACAGGAGGTATATATCTTATATTTTATGTGGTAGGTGATTATTATTGACTAAAACAGAGTATGTACCTATGTATAAAGCACCCAAGAGTTGCAAACAGTTTATTTCCAGCCATGGTAAATGTAGCGTTGGTGTGTGTAGCATTGGGGAGCCAGGATGAGGAGAGGAAAGGGTCCCGGGGTAGTGATCTTATCTTTTGGAGGAATTACTTGGTCTCAAGTGTAGGCTACTACTGTTTCCAAGATAGAAACTAAAAATGAGAGCCTCTCTATCCAGGATGCATACCCTGAGCAGTGCTTTTGCCTACATGGGAAAGTATACCCAGCACACCGCTACTCCTTGTAATCAAAGACCACCAGAGAGGCAACTGTTGTTAAAAACGTGTAACTTGTGGTTACAAGCTATTATTAACCATTATGCATCGCTAACATAGCGTTCGACAAATGTTCCTATAATGTGTGCTAACCACAGAGCTAAGCCAAAAGAAAGAAAGGGGAGGGAAAAGGCCCAATTCTAATTAGATCTAAAAATGTATCCCAAATGTGCTTCTAATCACTCATCGTCTCCGCTCTGTTGCCTTTTGAAGCGCCTCAGAGGCATTAAGCACTTTGCGGGAGGGGCCACAGGTGACATATTTCCCCGTTCCTTCCCATTCCAGACAGCAGCTCACACACATCACCACATAAAGGTCAGCAGCACAGACAGATGCTCGTTCAGAATACAAATGTTGTTGGGCTTGTTTTTCTCGGAGGAGCCGTCCCATTCCCGGGAGTTGTAACAGCAACCATTTGGCAGTTTGTCCCGTTCTGTGTCTGGCTGTGCCCTCCTGTCTATTCTGGGACTTGAATTCACAGGAGGTGGGCTTCCCAAGGCCACGGGCCGCTTAATAATTGGACGATTATTAACTCAGCAGCAAAAGGAACCTTAAAGATCACAGCCCCGACCTCCCAACCTTGTACAACACTCCTTCCCGATGCCATCTGGCTTTGGCTTGGTGACCAATTCTGAGGGGGCTCTTCCTGATGGCAGCCAGAAGGCAGGGGGCCTGGCTGAGTTTCTTGGGATTCCAGGCAACGTTAGTTCTAGAACTGTGTGATCCGGCGCAGATCTGGCCCATCTGGTCCTTGATACGGAGTGTGTATCCTCCTGTGAAGTGTTTGGGCAACTGCAACAAAGAGAAGCCCTTCGAGGAAGGAGTCCAGGGGAAGAGAGATGGGACCAGGAGGAGCAGAAAAGCAGCAGCGGAAACAAGGAGCCAGAGCACATAGGAAACAGATGTGCGGAGGAGAGGCGAGGAGCGGAACGGAAGAAACTTTGAAGTGCAAGAGGCTCTCTGCAAACGCAGAGGGTTCACGAGCGTGGAGCCTTCCTGGGTGTGATTAAGAAAGGTCACTGCACTTTTATTTCTGCCAGAAGAACACTTTGAACCCTGGATGGAGAGAAGGTGGCCATAAATATGCGGTATTGAGTTTATGCGTGGTGCCTACTTGAGGGCAATATAGCATTGACTACCCAAACTTTAAACATATGCACTCACGGAACAACAATCCACTGCTAAGGACTTATCCTACAGACAAACAAATGCAAGAGCTCTGCCTACAATGACGTTCCCTAATATGTGTGTCACTGCAAAAAAAAATTGTAACCACGCAGATGTGTATTAGGGGGAAATGGTTAGCAGAGTCATGGTACGTGGAAATATTAAAAAGAATGAAGAAATAGGTTAGATACCTGAGCTGATGTGGGAAGCTGCTCACGTGTTTGGAATACAGCAGGTTGTAGAACATAATCTTATACTAAGATGCCACTTGTGAAAAAGGGTAGATATATACTCATATGTGCTTCCCTGATGTTGATTGTTTTACAAAGTAAAACAAAGACCCTCCACTAGCAAAAAGACTGCAGCTCACCTGATGGTGATAGTCACTTTATTGCAATGGTCTGGCCCCAAACCAGCAATATCTCTGACGTATGCATGTATTTGTTTACATTTGCATTGGAAATATCAGGAATAGAGATGTTTGTTGAGAGATTGCTATTTTTCTATTTTATAACTTCTTTTCCTTCTGTCTTACCGCTACTAGCAGACTACTAGGCTAATGGAACCCAGACCTTCGTGGCCAGATACCACAAAGAATACATCCTTTATAAAAAAATAGTTCAGAAATGTCACTGAGCAAGCAAGAAAGCAAACAATAAATATGGGATTATACAAGTAATAAATTACAGTGAAGATAAAAGAGAAGATTAAATAAATATAAGGGGCATGAGATCAAAAGAGATTGGCTAAACGTTTAGTTGTTCTCATGTGATTGTTCCGCTGATAAACGGTAAGTGGCGTGCCAAAACACTGTTAATGAGGGGTTGGATGTTGGTGGCCAAACAGCGGAAGGTATACAAGCATTTTCTCGTACTCACCAATGCCTTTAACCAGGCGGCAGTTCGGAAGGTCTACAGATTCTACTTCACTGGAGGCTTTAAGTCGGTTCCTGTTTAAAAAAAAAAAAAAAAAAATTCACCTGTTGATGTATTGTATTCCCTGCTTTGTTGCAGAAAGGGTTTAAGAGGCTTACAGCCACCCAGAATACACAGCATAAATCTAAAGCAGAGAAAAGAGAAGACAGGAAGACAAGGGAAGGAATATAAAACATAGAACGACGTTAAAATAACAATGCATATCACCAAGTTCCATAGGTAAATGTGGATTGTGAAAGAAAGTCAACACTCAACTAATGCGAGTTTCTATGCAAATGTGCACCTGGCTGCAGGCCGCACAGCTCTGGTCTTGTGGGAAGAGCCGCAGGTGTATAACCAGAAGCCCTGTCTGCCCTTAAGGACCCAGGGAGCCAGGAGATGCTCAGACCCTCAGATGAAAGGGAGGCCAAGAGAGAAGGGCACTGTTCAGAGTCTGGCACACCAGAGCCTGGCACACAGAGGGCACGCCACAAGCAGCTACTCCGGGAGAAGTGGAGAGGGTCCCATCCCCATGACAGTATCTATTGGAGTGAGAAGATTGGGGAACACCACTTATTCTGGAAAAGTACTTGCTGTTGTTGTTTCAGGAAAATGAAAGTGCAGAAATAATGAGAATAATGTTGAGCTCTAATAAAGTATCTTCCCTCTCCCCTCTCAGGCCACAAAGCAGTCTGGGCAAGCACATTTGGGTTATATTGTTTTGAAAACTATGCACTGCAGGCTTCCCCCCTCCTCTCCCACTGTCTCACCTTCCCCATGTGTTCTCTGCAGTCATAAATAATGCCAAGAGTGCAGAATAGTTTACATTTTCAAAGTAGTTCACCCATCCACACTTTTAAGAGACCAAAGGACAATGTGCCACTTGTCTCTCACCTATTTATCTCCTTGACAGCATCTGACTTCTAGACATTGAATATGGGGGAGAGACTACTCGTTTCTCAATAAACACACACACACACACACACACACACACAAGAACAACAACAAAAAACAAAAACAAAACAACAACAACAACAAAAAATTAAGCCTAGATAACCTAGAATTACCAGCAGCTGGTGGCAGCTACTATATATTTTGGCTTATGTAAAGTTTCTAGTTAAAGTGTTAATCACCATGTATTTGAAATCATAGAACTCGAATAGTGGTAAATTTCCTGAAGCAATATAGCAATAAAGCAATAAAATATAGATGAATAAAATATATAAAATATATGAAAATGAAAAATAAAGTAACATTATAAAATTTAAAAATTATAACTCACGCTTGTGAGTTGCAGGAGTGACTTAAAGGGGATGACAGCTATATTTAGCCTACTGTAGTAGCAGTGATGAGGATGCTGTTGCTGATAATTATGGGTGGTAAAAGGAAATCAATAATAAAAACAGCTAAGAGGTCATTGATTCTGCCACAATTCTATGTGATTTCCCTGAGTGAATTCATTTAATTCTCAGCACAGCTCTAAGAAGTGGGTACCATTATTCCTTTTTCAGAGATGAGAAAATTGACTCAGAGGTGAAGCCACTCTGCTGAGATTTGGCACCCAGCTAGGAGGTACCACATTGAGACAGTACTCGTATCGGCTCTTGCGTTTTTCTCAGAAAGGAGTGAAACGCTGTGTTTCTGTCGTATAATAGCAGTAATACTGCAAGACCACTAACAAGTCAGTCCATTTCCATAGGCCTCGGCCTACTTTAGGTGTGAAATAAAGACGAGATTAGATGACCTCCCAGGGTCTGCCGATTCCAGGTGTAGCTATGTCAGTAGGTCACAGCTGCAGTATCGCTTGCCTAAGTGCCGATTTTATACAACTTACTATTACACCCATTTGACTGTACAAAAACAGGGATAATGATGATTACATCTACCTTTTTCGGAGATGAACTATATGGATTAAATAAAATCCAGATGTGTCTGAACAGTTCAATATGGGGTATTTTTCAGAGTCAACTTAGTTTGCATAAGTGACTGATGATTACACTTTGCTAATAGGGCAATCTTCATCAACTAGTTTAGTTATGCAATATTATCTCTCGACATGCAGACTGCCTGCTATGAAAATTGACGAGTTACACAAGGGCCATGCATAACTTCTAGTTAATCAAATCATGTTTTCTTGTCTTTCTGATAAAAGAGAGAATTTCACTTCCAGTCTTTGGGACCCATCACGTTTCAACTTCTTTCAGTAGAGAACTGCTAGGCTTTTTGTTGGCAGAACTTCCTGTTCTCTGCTCATTAGTGGGCCTCTAATTCCAGAATGGCAGACCCTACTAGCTGACAAACCTAAAGTCATTCTAACTCTCTTTCTTCCTCGAACCTTTTCACTGCAGAGGCGGGCAAGCTGAATATTTGCTTTCCCAGCCCCCTTTGTATTTCAGGATAATCATATAACCCAAGCTTTTGGCAAAGATAGTTTTTGTTCCTGATGGAAAAGGCAGACACAAGAAGAGAGCTGACTGGCACCACTCTTTCAGCTTGGGACTATAGCGACCATTCAGCATCCTTAACATGACAAGTGTGAAGTCATAAAGCCGTTAGTAAAGGATCTAAGAACAAAAATATAAGAACCTTGCTCCTTGATGTGATTAGTGACTCAGTAGACAAGCTCTGAAATGATTCACCTACCTTGCCCAGCAGGTGTGGCTCAGTGGTTGAGCATTGACCTATGAGCCAGGAGGTCACAGTTGGATTCCTAATGAGGGTACAAGTGTGGGTTGCAGGCTGGATCCCCAGTTGGGGGCATGCAGGAGGCAGCAATCAATGATTCTCATCATTGAGGTTTCTATATCTCTTTCCCTTTCCCTTCCTCTCTGGAATTAATAAAAAAAAAATATATTTTTTAAAATGATTTACCTACCAAGTTTTTATAATGTGAGAAAAATAAGCTTCTATTTGTATAAGCTACCATTAATTTGACATATGTTCCTACAGTTGAAAGCACTCCTAACTGGTAATAGATTTAAGAAGTTTGGAGAATATATGAGAGCTATACAAACTTGTTTGTACTAGCAAATTAAAAGGCCTAAATACATTTATGCTAAAAACAAAACAAAGCAAAAAAACAAAAAGAAAAGAAAAAGAAAAAAGGTACAAACACAAATAAGTGATATTTTTGCTACAGCTTATTGCTCCCTAACACTTTATAGCATGCTTATGAATGAATTAAGTCAGATGGTATAGCTCCACTGTCATGCAGACATTGCTAATCAATCACAGAACTCTTTCCTATAACCCAGAGCTAGCTTCAGACACAATGTTCCAGGAAACCACTACCAGTATATTAAAGTGGACATTGAAGATGAAAGCCTTCTGTTTTAGATTCCTTTTTTTTTTTTCCTCACTTTACTTTTTTTTCCCCATTAAATTGTACTTATTTTCCTTTTAGTTACAAGTATACACTGAGTCGCCAGATTATTATGCATTCAGAGATCATAATAATCTGGCCCCTCAGTGTATGGTAAGTGCAATACAGGAAAGAATACGTACTGCTTTTCTTTCTTTCTTTCTTTCTTTCTTTTTTTTTTTTTTAATTGAATCAGCAATCATTCTCCAGATGACGGCCACCAAAAACATATACCTCAGGGTTCTCAACCTGGGGTCATTGACCTTCAAAAGGAGTCCATGGGTTAAAATTAAGGAATCCATGAACTTGGATGGAGCAAAAATACATCTTTATTTAAACCTCTAATTGAAAATGATATTTCCTTTGATGATGAGTATAGGCAACAAACCATAGAACCTTCTAACAGCAGTACCAGCAACTCTGTCACTAATAGAAATTACAGAATTATTATATCACATGTCAGTTGTAGTAGAGATATCTAAATATCATTTATACTCACCAGTACTTCAAAATATCTACTGTTAGATATGCAATTACCTCTAGATATTTTTAAGGCTTTAATAATGAAGGCCATGTTGCCTGGCTGGCATGGCTCAACGATTGAGTGTCTACCTATGAACCAAGAGATCATGTTTCGATTCCCAGTCAAGGCACATGCCCTGGTTGCAGACTTGATCCCCATTGGGGGGACATGCAGGAGGCAACTGATCAATGATTTTCTCTCATTTTTGATTGATTCTCTCTCATCATTAATGCTTCTATCTCTATCCCTCTCCTTTTCTCTCTGAAATAAATTACATAGATAGATAGATAGATAGATAGATAGATAGATAGATAGAGTGAGCACCAGGTTACTATATCATATATTAGATTTAAAAAATATTTTGGCAATAGTATTTAAGCATTTAAATGAATTGCCTTAGTGTTTAAGTGTGTCTTGTGCTCCCATGTATTTTCTTTTATGCTTTTAGAAACACAATGCTGAGAGTCAAGGCTTCAGCAGACTGCTGAAGAGATCTACCGCATAAAAAGTCTAAGAACCCTGCCTGCACATCCTTGCCATCACAGGTAGTTTTACATCACATGCGTCTGACATTGTTCTATCACTTTCCAAGAATGACCTCATTTATTTTTCTCTGCCCCAGTTTGGAGCAGGTTGGATTATTATTATTCCCATCCTCCAGGTTAGGACTCTGAGACACAGAGAGGTGAAATAAAAAGCTAAAGTCTCATATAATAGTGGACCTAGGAAAGGAATTCAGGCTGTCTACCCACAAAGCATGAACCAATATCATCACTATGAATTGATCAGTATTTCTTTCATTCAGGAGAAATAGTATGACCCACCTGGAGGGGACTAAGACAGGGGCGGTTGGTTACTCCCTCACCTCCCTGGGCGGTAGCAGTAAGGGAGCACCAGGCTGTGGTATTAACACGTCTTGAGCAAACTGGAACACAGACTTACTTCCAGGAATTGCTTTGTTCCTTATCTCACAGCCTGAATGTATAAGCCACTGATGGGGCTTTATCTTTTAAATACGGACAAACAGGGGCTTTATCTTTTGTATACAGACTAGTAAAACCCTTCGGAATTTACCAATTGAGCCCCTGTAATGCTTGCACTTAGTAACCTAGAATTTGGGCTTAGGCACGCAGAGTTGGGGAAAATCTATTCCAATGGCAGCCAAGCTCGGAGGCTGTGGGGGAGCTGGTAAGCGGTATTTGGGTATTTAGAATCAGGAGACCTAGCTTAGTGTACAGGATCAGCACTAATTACCTGTTGAACTAACCAGTTAATGTCTCCCAGCCTCAGTTTTTACATGTATAATATAGAAAGGAAGGTATAATATAGAAAAGAAGGTATAATACAGAAAGAAAAAAAAGGTATATATATATATATATATATATATATATATATATATATATATATATATATAAAGTCAGAAATGTAAAAGGGCCTATCTTCCAAAAGTCAGAAAAAGTACATGTTGGTTTAATATAAAGAACTTGGATATTTCTGACACAGTGACAAGCATACTGTAGTCACACAATAAATGCTAAGGAGGGTGGGGTTTAAGGAAAGAGCCTGACCCTTCAGAGGTATTCAAAAGCTGACTGGATAGCGTCCGGGGGAGCTGTCATAAAGGGTGTCAGGAAAGAAGCAGAATGTTCAGGCGCTTGTTTGGGGGTTCCTGCCCACACAGGTCTCTGATGTTCTCAAGTCCCATGATTCATTCCAAGGTGTGTACTTTGCATCAGGGAGCAACTGGCCTGGGGATGCCTGTGTGTTTCTCCCTTTTTTTGTTCCTATTTTCCCTTTTATTGTTCAACCAGGGAAGAGTAGGAAAGTTGGGTGTATTATACCATCCTCCCCTGGGAACCTTGGCCAGTTACAGTTTAGAAGGAAAGAGACAGCTTTGATTCCATTTATCCATCTGGGACATACTTATGCTAAAAAAAATATTCAATGTTTATCTGAAATGCAAGTTGAAATTTAAGTGAGCAGCCTCTGTGGGAGAAAAATAACTTGAGTGCCAAAGTACCATCTCTAAAAATCTATACTACGTAATAAAAGGTAATATGCTAATTAGACCAAGTCAACTGAACATCTTCTGATGACCGATTTCCTTCCAGACAAAGCCACAGTGGCGGGGGGGGGGAGAGGGGGGGGCTAAGCAGAGGTGATTAGGGGTGATCAGGAGGGCAAGAGAGCAAGTCTTTAGGGCCGATCAGGCCTGCGTGGAAGAGCAAGCAGTTAGAGGTGAGATCAGGCCAGCAGGGGACAGCAGTTGGGGCGATCAGGCTGGCAGGGAGCAGTTTTGGAGGCAATCAGGCAGGCAGGTGAGCAGTTAAGAGCCAGAAGACCAGGATCATTAGAGGGATGTTCGACTGCTTGTTTCGGAACTAAACTGGCAGTCAGATTTCCCCCAAGGGTTCCCAGATTGGAGAGGGTGCAGGCCGGGCTGAGTGACACTGCCTCCCCCCATGTACGAATTTTGTGCACCAGGCCTCTAATAGAATAATGAAATAGCAGGTACCAGATTACAGCAAAAAATAAACCAACCACACACACACCCCACACAATTTTTGAAGAACCATTTCTTATGGGGACATGGGGATATGCTGCTTTTCAAAATAGACTCTAAGGTTCTGAAAGGAGAAATGTTATGTATGCATTTGAGCGCTTCACCAAACTCTGTAAACAATAGGTACTTGATATTCTACAATCATAGAATGGTCAGCTAGAATACAAGATTCCCAGTTAAATTTGAATTTCATATAAATAATGAATGATATTTTAGTATAATTATGTACTAAGTATTATATGCTTACACTAAAAAAATGATTCGTTGTTTACCTAAAGTTCAAATTTAATTGGGCATCCTGCACTTTTATTTGTAAAATCTAGCCCCCCACCAGTCATTCCAACATTCTCACATCAACCCATTTGGGACTTCAACTATCCAATGAAGTTACTAGCCTATAAAGTCGCTGCTCATTAACATGTATTATAGTCAAATCTTTATTAAAAAGAGCATTAAATTGCCCTGACAGGTTTGGCTCAGTGGATAGAATGTCCACCTGTGGACTGAAGGGTCCCAGGTTCGATTCCGGTCAAGAGCATGTACCTTGGTTGCGGGCACATCCCCAGTAGGGAGTATGCTAGAGGCAGCTGATGGATGTTTCTAACTCTCTATCCTTCTTCCTTCCTCTCTGCAAAAAATCAATAAAATACATTTAAAAAAAAAGTGCATTAAATTATAAATTATCTATCAGGTACATTTTATGTACATAAGCTTTATTTACTTTTTCTTAAGTTTACAACAATGACATTTATCATTTAAAGGAACTTAATTATAAAACCTTAAAATCAGTAAGAAGAAAAGCTTGTTGAGAAAACTTCAGCTGGTAGTAACACTGGTGGTTTGAAGTTTAGGGACAACTTAATGAGCTTGTTTGAAGTTTGGCGGACTTGCCTTGGGAACTGAGAGCTGGTCAGATCAGACAAAATCATGCAACTCAAGAACGTTCCGCAGAGCAGGATGGGCATTTACATAACATGAAAAATTAAGGTCAACATGCCCATTGTCCTATCAGTAAGCGAGCCTCCTCCAACTCTAACTACTAACACACACTCACTGGTCCTCCTCCTTGCATCCCTTCATGTAGAGATGAAGCGACAGCTACTGGACAGTAGAGCTGAGAACTCTGGTATCTATCGCCTGTGACTGCTCTCATTTCTGGGGTTCCAGCGTTTGGGCTGCTGCTATTCTCTCCAAGCTATTGCAATACCTTAACTAGTTTCCCTATGTCTATTCACTCTCTAGTCTAGTACTTCTCAACTCTTAACCGCACATAGAATGATCACAAATTTATAAAAAACACACATGCCTTGGCCCTACCCAAACAAAATGAATCAGAATCTGTAGGGGTACAGCCCACATACATGCACAGCCAAATGCACTGAGAACTACCGCCCTACTCCAATCCATCCTTCCAAGTTCATCTCTACCCACCACAGCTGGCTGTGCTGTGTGTGGTTTCACAGTTCCTGTTTAAAACAAACAGAACGTATAACAAACAAACAAAACATAAACAAGCATCACTAGTTCCCCTTTGCCTATCAAAGCAGGCTCCAATTTTATACCATAGTTCAAAATGTCTCATCTCAAATCTGTCCTCCTCCCTCTTCTTACTATTCTCATTTGGGCCTCCTTCTTCCCATATATGTTCCATTCATCCTTCAAGGCCAATGTCCAATGTCTCTGCCCCCAGAGCTCTACCCTGAGGGGATGTAATCTTGCCTCCTTTAAGCCTGTAGGGGTAGACTGTACCTGCCTTGGAGACATACACTGAGTGGCCAGAATAATCTCCTAAACGCATAATAATCTGGCCACTCAGTGTATATCCTATATAATCCTATATAATAAAAAGCTAATATGCAAATTGTCCTTTTGACCAGGAGTTAGACCAACAGGCAGGCCGGCCAACCAACCATGTCCCTTCCCCCTGGCCAGGCTGGCCGGATATATATACTGAGTGGCCAGATTATTATATATTTAGAAATTTAAAGATCATAATAATCTGGCCACTCAGTTATATCCTATATAATAAAAGGCTAATATGCAAATTGTCCCCTTGGCCAGGAGTTCAACAAGTAGTCAGTCCACACAACCGCCCATGCCTCCCCCCCCCCCAGGTTGGCCGGACCCCACCCATGCACAAATTCATGCACCAGGCCTCTAATATATATGATATATATACTGAGTGGCCAGATTATTATGTGTTCAGAGATCATCATAATCTGGCCACTCAGTGTATATACTTTTTCTCCTCCCCTGTAATAAAGTAAACCACTTAGGGGTAAGACTGTGCTTCATTACAGGAGCCTAGAAAAGCGCACTATGCACAGGAAGTGCTCAGTAACTGGAATTCTTTAGCAAGTGGCTTATAAAGTTTGAGTTGGTCATTTAGGAACGCTGACGTCCACCCACCCACGTTTTTTTCACAATCACTAAAGTGTGAGATGGACTAGGCTTGTGCTGCCTGGCACTCAGGCTTCAGGGTTCCCGAGTGAAGAGGTAAATAAGGAAGTGATGTAAGACCAGAAGCTGGACATTGCAAGTATTTTTGACCCGCCCTGCCTGAGCCAGAGAGCGAGCTCCGCAAACTAAGCAGCAGGGAGATGGAGAGCAACTTGATGAAGGGGGGAAGCTGGTTTGGGCGCCAGGGAGTAAGCAGCGGCAGTGACCCGGAATGAACCTTTACAATGAAGTTTCAATGCCTGAGGAATCGCGTTGTTTTCCCACTCAAGTTTGCCCCTGCTAGGGCTTGCACAAAAGCACTTGCTTGCCCATCAAGGGAGAATAGAAGTTTGCAAACGGCAAAAAGAGTTGTAAACTTTCCAGAAAGTCTCCAGATTCAGCCCAAACGCTGAATGCTGGGTTTTGCTGGAAGGTGGGGGGTGGGTCCAGGGGTTCCATTGAGGGGAGGGGAGAGGGTGCGCAGAGCAATCAAGAGAGCCATCACCAGGCCGATCCCCGGGCTAAGCTAAGCCCTCCGCGGCCTCGGCCCCTCCCGCAGCCCCGGCCACCGGAGTGCGGGACACGCGGGCGAGCGGGGCGGGGAGGCTCCGGGCAGGGCGCCCCGCGGCGCCCGGGCGGCTGGATCCCAGGGGGCCCCACTTACCTGAGCGCCAGGAGCCGCTCGCCCACCAGCCCCAGCGCGATGCCCAGCAAGCTCAGGCCCACCAGCCGCCCCATGGCGCGGAACGGAGCCGGAGGAGCTGCGGCTCGGGCGGGCCGGGTAGTACTGTGGGCGGCGCCCGCGTCCGGCTCCAGGGCGCCGGCCCGCTCCGCCCCGTCCGACCCCGGCAGAGGCGGGTTCCTGACTCTGGGCCGTGGCGACTCCGCCCTCGCCTGGCCCTGGGCCTGTGTCAACCCAAAGCTTACCTCCCCTGACACCTTCCCCGGGACAGGGAGCCGCCCTCCTCCGCCCCAGTTTGGGCTTTCAAAGGGAATTCCCTCCCCTCCTTTCCCAACCAGCAGGCTGCCCTGTGCCTTTCTCGCTGCCCTGGTCTCCAAAGACAGTTCTCACTCACATGCCCCGGAGAAGCTGAGTTTTAAAGATTCTTTATTACAGGGAAGGATACAGGGTTCACGTCTTGTAAATAGTTCATGCTGGAATCACTACTTTTTATGATAGGATGGGATGTGGGTGAAAGGTAAGAGACATCCAACTTTTAGTAATGCTTCATCCAGAGACCTGAGGACTTGGGCACTGCTTTTTGACCTAAACTTATGGGAATAAGGATAGTCTTCCTTCCTTCCTTCCTTCCTTCCTTCCTTCCTTCCTTCCTTCCTTCCTTCCTTCCTTCCTTCCTTCCTTCCTTCCTTCCTTCCTTCCTTCCTTCCTTCCTTCCTTCCTTCCTCTTTCTCTCTTTCTCTCTTTCTCTCTTTCTCTCTCTTCCCTCCCTCTTTCTCGTCCCTCCCTCTCTCCCTCCCTCCCTTCTTTCTTCCTTTTTCTTTCTTTTACTTTAACAACCATAACACGAATAAAGAAAACAGTATAAAAGAGAAACTTACCCATTAAGATGGAGACAGTCATAAAAAGTGAGCAGGCCTGAAATAAGCTGCTCATGGTGCCAGTGTTTAATCGCCACCTTATGGTATGTAGGCAGAAGATGCCACAAGTGCCAAATTTAGCAACTACCAGTTTTTTAAACAAGTAATAAATAAAAGCCACCTGGCTGGGTGGTCAGTTGGTTGGAACATTGTCCCGTACACCAAAAGGTTGAGGGTTTGTTACCCGGTCAGGGCATACCCCTAGGTTTTGGGTTTGATGGGAGGCAAATGATCAATGTTTCTCTCACATGGGTGTTTCTCTTGCTCTCCCTTCCTTTCTCTCTAAAGTTAATAAAGATATATCCTCAGGTGAGGATTAAAAAGGAAAAAAAGAAGAAAAAAAAGCAGATGCCAGTTTGTCCCTTTCCCCCACTTAGAAAAAAAAAAAAAGATCCTTCTACTTCTGTTGCATCTATCTCTGATTGAGTCCTAGGGGATATTAATTTATATGCATGGTAGGTACAGGACTAAATAGCTGTCCTTTGAAAGCCCAGGAGGCTTACCTTGCTTTGTGCCACCAGCCCCTCTAACAGGCATGAACCTACAGACACCTCAGAATAATATTTTAAGTGCATACAATAAAACCACAAGATTGCCAACGGGAGCAATTCCATTCAGATGCAATTATCAAAATATTCTTTTGACTATAGTAATATAGTCAGGTAATGTGTGCTACATTATTAACACAATATGTAAGAAGACACAGCACCATTCTTTCAAATAGTGATGAGAATGAATGCTATTTCAAGATACATGCAACAGTGCAATGAAGTAATGAAAATAACTATTTCCAATGATAGCAAAGTTGCAAGTACTACTAATGCTTTTGAGTCAAAACTCGCTTTCTACTTTCATTGAATTCTGTTGAGGGACATGTCAAATTCCATTTGAAATCAAGATTTTTCTCTTTCCCAAGGTCACAAGCCATGGGAATACTATCCATGAACTACTTTGGTTAAGAATGCTGACGTGTCACCTTAGGAACTGGTAACCACTGACAGATCTCCATTCAGCATGAAGCCTAGTCACCATAGTGTTGCTAGGCCACCAATCAGAACAATACGCCGGAGCTTAGGAAGAAGGACTTTCAAGTCCAGCAAAATCTGCCTACCCTCAGTCTCAGAGAACCTGGGAGTCACCTCAGTGGAAAGTTATTAGCATCGCCAGTAAGTTCCCTCAAATATGGCCTCCTAATTCCCCCATTACACTATGTGAAGGGTACTACAGCTCCATCCTCTTTTTCTTTCTGAGTGTTGCTGTGGAAACAGCTTCTGCAGGAGTGGCCTCTTCCTGCCCCCTATCCCCACCACCATGCTAGGGCTAGGAATCGCCATTTCTCACAGACTAATGAGGAAGAGAGATCTTTTCTGACTTGCAATACAAAAGCCTTTCTTCTCCACTGTAAGAGGTTGGAGAAGACTGGTTATTAATTTTATAGCACATACCAGTTATTGAATTTTCTCTTTTTATTGAATTTATTGGGGCGACATTGGTTAATAAAATTATATAGGTTTCAGGGGTACAATCCTATAATACATCATCTGAATACTGTATTGTGTACTCACCACCCCCAGTCAAGTCTCCTACCATCACCATTTATTCCCCCATAACCTTTTCTGTCTCCCCCACACCCTCTTTCCCTCTGGTAATCACCAGGAATTTTATTGTATATAGCTTTGCAATCTTTTGAGATACCTGGGTTTATAGGCTACACCAAGAATATAATTCAGGGTTTATGCTATTTCATGCGCTTAAATAATCAAGTTACTGAATACAAACAAACTTGTTCTGGAACTTGTTTGTATGCTGGCAACTCCCTTCACTTGGCATGAAACACTGTTTCTCAAATAATGACATGCAACTAGTTTACAATTAGAAATGTAATGGGTCTTTGGCAAAATTTCCGAAACAATAAAACCTTTTGTCAGTGCTTCTTAAATGATGTGTAGTGAAGGACAGATTTTTCTTTGACTTTCGAAGTACAATGAAAATGAATTACCAGGAAGTGAAATAAATGAAGTAAAAAAATCAGACATACAGAAATACAAACCCGAATCTTTTATTATTTGATTCAACAGATGTAAAATTACTTTGTCAATTTTCTATAATAGTTTCTAAATGCCTACTCTCCAATTCTCTTACTTATCTCACCATGGACCAGAAACAAAGAGTCCACTGACATCAAATGCTCCTTGGAGCACACTGTCAGTGGACTGCCTTTCATGACTGTACTTCTAACTCTTTAAAGTTCTCTGCAGCATGTTATCATGTACAGTGTTCCTGGTAATGTCTGAAATAAATGACTCATGATTATGGCCATTTTATATCCTATGTGTTAGGGAGCTGGTCCCTCCAGATCCCTTTTATTTCCTTCTTCTCCTTACCTCTGTTTTAAAAATGGGGCAAATCTTTTAACCCCAAAACACCTTCAAGAGATGTTATAAAGGATCATTATTACCAGTAAAAGAAAGATTTGCTTTGTAAATGCTTCCCTCTAGGGATTCCCATCCTCTCCCCCCCCCTCCCCCCCACACACCCACTCACTCTCCAAGCCATTTTCTCAGAATTTCAATACATTAAAAAGTGAAGGTAAGAACAAACAGAAAAATGATTGCATATATTTTTTAATATTTATAGTTAACAAATTAATATTCTTCAATTATTAGTTTGAACAGTGTGAATTTGTTGTTTATAGAAAACACACACAAATATAAAATATAATTGAGTATGCTAGCTACAAATAATTATGCAATTTATTTTTTAAGAAATACTTATTTCTGGTTTACCATAGGAGTGGTCCAGTAACAGAACTCAAGTTTGAAATGGATGAGTTTTTCAGTTGTGTCAACGTATCTCTCTGGCAGAATAATAATTAAAAAAAAAAATTCTGAGATAATGCTGAAAGTCAACCAGATACCCCACCCATCCCTACTAGACCCAATCCTATTTCTACAAGGGGCTGTAGGATTGGTCTTCCAGGGGCAGTCAGACCCTGGAGGGAGAGGAATGAGGGGTAAAAACACTGGGAAAGAGAAAAATCAGGGACATCGAGGACAAAAACTTTCACTTTCCTTCATGGGCTGACTATGAGATGGCCTGAACTCTAGAAAATATATGCATGTTTTCCAATGTAGCAATATAGCAGTAATGTTTCTAGGGTTTTTTGTTTTTTTTTTAATGGACTGCACTTAAAATTTTTTCAGAATAACCACCACAGCTATTATGTATTGAACATTTCCTATTCCATACATTTTATACTTACCACATCATTAAATCCCCATAACAACCATGTGAATTAGGTACTATTATTATTTCAATTTATGAGTGGTGAAACTGAGGCAAAAGTTTAAGGATCTTGTCCAGGATTACACGCTTGGAAAATGATAGAGCCAGAATCAAACATAAGAAAATTTATATGAATATCCACATTTCTACCTTGGATCTATCTTTTGCTAATTATCAAATCAAAAGGTTGCTATTCCTTTGCTATCCATGGCAAGAACAGAGATTGTTGTGGGCAACCCGTGAATGATGACCACCAGTCAGCCAAATTGGAATTTAGGAAGCCTTTATTACGAACTTGAGTCCGGGCTCACGTCTCAACTGACACAGCAATGAGCAACGAGAGCCCCGACCTACTCTAAGCATGCTGCTTTTATCCCCGTCTTAGGGATGCCTGGCAGATTATGATTGGCTAAAAGTTTTAACAAAGAAACATCAGTTATAAGTTATAGAAAAATTCCACTAGTACAGTAACATTTAAAGTTTATACAACACCTGGGGTGGGGGTTTATTTTCAACTTAAGCAGTCTCTGTTTGACCTGGTTTGGTTGTTCTGCCTTGCAGCTACTGGAAACAGGACGTGCCTGCCTGGGGGTTGAGCCTTGCAACAGAACTATTTTATGACTAATTGTTATGCTTAGCTAAAGCGTATCATGCCACATTCTTTATTGTGGATCTGGTTGCTCGTTCCTTTCCTGGCCTGGAGCCCTGCCTCGACAGGGTCTTGCTAGCCATCTGGAGAGCTGCCTCGCCCAGGTCTTGCCGGCCACAACAAGATGAATGAGCAGGTGGTGAGAATTGTAGAAACCCATCTCCTGTCAAGTCTTGTCACTGGTGAAGGGGTTCTTGTTCTCCCT